ATGGTGCGCCACCCGGTATACCCCCTTTACAAATTTCAATTGAGCTCTAGTTACTGTCAAGTAACGTCCTAAATACATCCACAAAGTGTACCAAATTTGGTTGCTTTAAGTTCAAGAATAACGGAGATATTGATTTTTTTCAAAATTTATAACTTCACTTTCCAAGCTTATAACTCCTTAGGGAAGCAACTTGGTATAGAGGTAAGTTCCGTTAAATTGCCATATTTTGGGACCTCCTACATGCCCCTGCTCTATGTCGGTTCTTATGTGAATCACCCTGTATATTCATCAACATGTGTGTACCGAATTTCATGCTGGTAGCCAGAATAGCAATATTCTTGTGCTAGCATAACGCACTATTCTTTGAGTGTAGCTTAACTCATTTGAAAGTTCTGATTGCTTTAAAATCATAGGAAGAAAATAATCACTGTGATACATCACCTCTGTCATCCTGTTACTATTCGCCCGTTACTATTCTAATGTTTTGCATGTTTGCGCCCTCCCCCTGTAGACGTTGCGCAGGAGCGCACGCGCAACGCCCTCATGGACGGGGTGGAAAAATTCCAACCATCCACCCTCAAACGGACGGACACCAAAGAGAAGATTGTTTTACCGAATGCGCAAGGTAAAAGGGAGACATTGGCTGGTTTCCCGATATGGCTTGTTTTGCCTCTAACGAGATTTTGCGATAACCATATGCAGGGTGTTTTGTTTCGAGTGGAAGCAATATACAGGGTGATCCACGGAAGATGGCCTATTAGAAGTATCTGGAGAACTGAAAGACAGAACATTCTGAAAATTGGGATGTTTCGATAATTGAACATTCTCTATCAGTCTAAAATATTTTCATCGATACAGTGTTGCAACTTCTATAAGAAACAACTAGCAATTTTGTTATTTCAAATAGAACACCCTGTATTTTATTGCATTTGTTCATTCTTCCTGAAGAGCTGATTTCATCAATGTATCACACTTGGTGTCTAGCAGGAATTACAGAGATACAGGGTGTTCAAAATCGAGATTTTTCAATTTTAGGATTTTTTGTGTCGAAACTATTCATTATCGATCAAAACGGCTTACATGTCCCTATCTTAACTTTTGATTCACTATCTACTGACATTTAATTGGAAAATATACAGGGTGCTTCATGATTCAGAATTCTGATCACCCTGTATCTGTTCCATTCAAATAATTTCACAGTGTTTACAATTTATGATAATAGTGATCACTTGAAATGAACACCACTCTGTATATTGAATATAACTAGTGTGAAGAAAAGTATAGAACAAATTTGACGAAAATTCTATCGGCATTTGTGAAACATATTCTTGCTACTGAATTTTTTCCATACTACGACTTCATACTCCCATGATTCATAATTCGGCTGAAACCAACTAATCTTGCCTTCGCTAATCTACAGGGCGATCCAATGTTGAGTCAAAACATTCTATTGGAGTTTGTTATTTCTTCATTGTTACATTATGTGAATAATTGAAATTTCTTTTTCAATTGGCGATAAGAAAAAATACATAATTATCATGTGCTTATTGTCAAAGTTCAACAAAATAAATCAACATTTTTAATTATGATAGTAGATTATTTTTCAATACAATTTTGACGTATTCAATAAATTTTCTGGATATATAGACTATACTATACAGTACATTCATCAATTTGAGGTGTAATCTCAGCTTACAGGCAAATTATTCGTGTTCAGCGATGTGAGAATTGAAATAACAATCTAGCCATAGAGTGGATAGAAGAGGATGTAATTTATCGACGTTTATTATCAATTAGGCCATTATCTAGTCTAGAGCTTGTGTAAACAATCCTAGCTGCGCACATGTATAGAGAGAGCCCTGTTTGTTCATAAAAAGCAAGCTTCTGCCTCCGCCAGTTATAAAACATACTAACATATTATAATCATTAAATTTTTATAAACAGTATCAATAACGATGAGGGCGCTAAAAAACATTTCGCATTAATGACATCCACTGGATTTTTAACAAACATGTGGCCACCACTGTTACTAATGGGAACAGTTGTTGGTACTATCTCCAACTAACATAATATATCATTTTTATCTGATGGCATGTCATAATGACAACGTTATGTCACTCAATTTTGATGACAGCTCATTATAGTACTAAAAGTACCATAATGAAATTCTATAAGGAAAACATGTAATGGTTTGATCAAAAAAGTTTATTCAAAATGCATAACTATGTACAAAACTATTTATTATAAATGGTAAAAGAACAATTACTACAATTTGTAATATTAATATAATGGCAAAGCACAGCTCACTCACCTACTAATATTTGAAACTACACAATACTTACTCCTTTAAAAATAGTTGTCATTGTGACATGTCGAAAATGCAGTTTTTAATTTTTCGAAAATGTATTGATATAAATGCCATCAGATAAAATTTTGTATGTAATACGAATCATAAACAATCATTATGGCACACGCCGTGTTATCACGACTTGTACCATAATGATCGTCTTTATGATCCTTATTACATAAATAACTATTATGTATGAACCCAAAAAATGATTTGTACCGTGTGTACCACTAAGAAAGGACGCCGGCTGTATCTCGGAAACTATTTGCCGCACAGGTTTCGAAAAAAAATATGAATGATAAAAGTGGCCAAGAGAAATCTCTGGAAATTATTTTCAAGTTTCCAGGACAGCCCCTAGAGGGCGTAATTACATTGGCCAGTTTAATAAACGGGATTTTATGAAAATTTTATATATCAAGATATATCAAAAACACTTTTTTCATGTTCTCGAGTTGATTTTCAATCATTTCGATCAAAAAAAATTGCGCTAGCTCTTCAAATGAAAAAAGGAGGGAAGGATGAATAGTACTTTGAAAAAACTCCCATTACTACAGTTTGGTGTAACGGAATTCAACGATCTTGATCTCATTATCAAGGTTTTGTTTGGTTCTTCCAGATGAATCACGAATCAAGTCGATTTAAATCCTGTGGTGGCCGCTAGATGGCATCGTTTGAAAAATCAGACAATTTTCCATTTTTTTCGAAAATTTCAGATGGAACCATGTATTTATTCTACTTTAATATGAAAGTAGAGCAATCAAGAAGAAAAATGGTGAGAACCGCGAATTGATGCCTCTTGAGGAACCGGTGAAATACTGGAAATAATATTATGAAAATATTCACCACGGGAATCTAACTTCAATAATCGTCATCAGAAATATCCTGTATCTATGAAATTATGATTTCAATAATTAATTCATTTATTTTGGTTTCACAAACTGCTATTATATCTCACAATAGTGAAGGAGACTCTTAGTAATAGCTAATTGAAATGTAAATAGTGAGTATAGGGGCTCAGGAATGAGAAATGGCTTGACTTTGAATGAAAGAATCGTCAAAATATAATTGAAGTTCCATGGAAAGTTTTCACTGTGGATTGCTTATTTGTCAAAATGCCGATAACGAATGAGGAGGCATTTGACATGCTAACAGTTTGAATTTTAATATTATTCCGAGTATTTCTCCGGTTCTTCAAGAGGTATCAACTCGCGGTTTTCACCATTTTTCTCCTCGTTCACTTTACTTTCATATCATAGCAGGAAAAATATATGGTTCCATTTGAAATTCTCGAAAAAAAATGGCAAATCGTCTGATTTTTCAAACGATGCCATCTAGCGGCCACCACGGGATTTAAATCGACTTGATTCGTGATTTATCGGGAAGATCTGAAAAAAACCCTTCGTAATGAGACCAAGATCGCTTGATTCCGTTACACCAAACTGTAGTAACAAGAGTTTTTCCAGAGTACTATTCATCCTTCCCTCCCTCTTTTATTTAAAGAGCTAGCGCAATTTTTTTTATCGAAATGATTGGAAATCTACTCGAGATCATGGAAAAAGTGTTTCTGATATGTCTTGATATATCAAATTTTCATAAAAACCCGTTTTTTAAGTTGGCCAATGCAATTACGCCCTCTAGCGGCTGTCCTGGAAACTTGAAAATAATTTCCAGAGATTTTTCTTGGCCACTTTCATCATGAATATTTTTTTTCCGAAACCTGTGCGGCAAATAGTTTCCGAGATACAGCCGGCGACCTTTCTAAGTGGTACACCCGGTACGTGAGTGTATTTACTAGGTAATAGATATACAGGGTGTTTCAAAATTAGGGACTTATATTTCAGGTCAAAATAAGACTTTTTTCCTATAACTATGTGTTCGCAAACGCCAAGTTACCGATCTACAGAGCGTTGAAGTTTTGAGTTTTTTTTTTTATTTTTTAACACCTTTTATATAAAGTCAATAAGGTTCGTTCGGTTTCTTATTCTTCAGGTTATGTTTCCAAAACTTTTAATAACGATCACAAACTGAATGAACAGCGTTTTTTGATCTAATTGTAATAATAGGTTCCTCCCTTTTCTTAAAAATCTAGCAAATTACAAAAAAATATGTTTTTCTCGACAACGGTCACAGATTCGTAAAAATTACAAGAGACAAGAAAGTTCACAAACAGAACAAATAAATCATTTGGTATTTTAATATCTACCAGTGGCGCACCACAAAAAAGTTTATGAAGCGAAAAAAGGCTTGGCCCCACAAAAAACAATCATTCGACCAAATTATATAATCTGAATATCTCGGAAACCAAAAGAGCTATGATGAAAAAAGGAAAAAATCTTCAAATTTCAACGCTCCGTAGATCGGGTACGAAGCGTTTGCTGTTTACAGGAAATGAGAAGTTTTATTTTGATCTGAAAAATGAGCCCCTGAAATTTTGATACTAAGTTTTGAAAAACGACCCTGTATGTTTCCTGCTATGAACAAATGTTTCTTGAGAACAATGAAGTTGATTGATTGATTATAAAAGTGATACTAACAGATCAAGCTTAATTTATAGAGTATGCTTTGGAAAAGTTTGTTTAGAAACTTGAGCTTTTTTTGCTGATATACAGGGGGTGTCCTGTCATTTTTATATATTTCTTGTTTTTTTTTGTAGATGTGGCTGCCGAGAAAACCGAAAAAGCCCTTATCGAAGGAATTGAACGTTTCGATACTAGCAAATTGAAGCACACCTTGACTCAAGAGAAAAACCCACTACCAGACAAAGAAGGTATGGAATTTCATTTTTTGATTCCACCAACTAAAAGAGCCTTATCGACTATTTGAAAAATGCTTCAATTTTTTTATCATCATTTTGCTTTTTACTTTTGTTCAATGTTAATGTTTGACTAGATGGAAAAAAATTCAATTTTCAAAAAAGAATACGATTTATTACGATTCAAAATGATCAAGGAATGTGAATGGCAAACCAGAAGATCATTAAATAAATACTGTATGTAGGTTAATCGAGGAGGTGTTACATTCATTTCACTTGATTATTTGTGATTTTCTCCCCTCGTTTCTACAGAATAAAAATATGATCCGAGTATTATTTCAATACACAGGGTGACATAGAAAGAAGTACATTGCATAGTGCCACACAATAGAGGACACTATACAATAAGGAAAAAAAGTTCCTATGAACATGGGTCCGCAAGGCCTTTGGTTAAAAGATACGGGGTATTGAATTTCAATGGAAAAATGTATTGAAGTACAAGGGCAACAATTTGAACATATTCTGAAAACTTGATGTTTTGTTCTAATTAATCATATTTTTCATCATATCATTAAAATGTAATTGTTGAAGCATTTATCATTGTTTTTGCAAAAGTTACTTTGGCGCTTTTCGAATAATTTGCGTGCATTGTCGGCTTTTAGATGCATTTGTACTGGAACCATTGCTTCTAGCGACTTGGACAAGGTATACCTTTCTTAAGTATAAAAGAAGGGATAACAAAAATGTCGAAAATGACATACAGTGTATAGCAAAAAAGTTACGACCGATTCAATAGGGATGGAACCCTGTATGTAGCGCCCACTACAAAACTAAGATCATATTTGAATTAAGCATGATAAAAAACCCCTGTATACCACATTTCATCCATTTCTTGCGTCTCTGGCTAAAGATATTCAAAGAAAACCCAAAAATAAATGTAAATTCAACACCCCGTATCTTCTTACCGAAGGCCTTGCGGACCCATGTTCATAGAAACTTTTTTTCTTATTTTAGTATCCTCTATTGTGTGGCACTATACAATGTACTTTTTTCTATGTCACCCTGTATGTATAGTAGGACAAATCAGATGATTTGCCTCGAAATTTTTTTATCAGGAAGCCTAAAAGAAAAATCCAATAGTTTGCTGGTGACACTTTGTTTAAAAAAAAAAATTGAAGAGAAGAAATATACAGGGTGTCCGCTAAAAGAAGGTCAATCCATTAACCACATATTCCTTGAACAAAAACAATATGAGTTTCTAAATATCATTTTTCATTTTAGCCCTTCAGATTCGGTATACAGGGTGTCAAAGTTGGAAATTAAAAACTGTTTTTTTCTAATTACTCGCGTATTTGATAAGATATTAATCTCAAAATTGGTACATTACTTCAGCACAAAGAGTTACATCGTGTGAGGAAAACAAAACAGAAAATAACTGTCAAATATTCAAGATACTGGGGGTCAAGTTCGCACTTACCCCCATATTTTGTTTGTACGTGCGCTAATGACTTCCTATCTATTTTCCTTCAAGTGTTCAATCATTTTTGAGTATTTTTTGTTTCCTGTAAAATTTCGATTGAATCATTGGTTTTTAAGATAATTCGAAAAGTACTGGTTATTGTTTGATGCCTATGCGGCTTAGGTAATCTCATAATGTTCACATACTCCTATTTATTTCGTCGAAATTGAAAGAGGGCGTATCTTTTTACGTACGAAAAGGTAAATATGGAAATACCGGGTGCTCGGAGCAAATGTACTAAAATAATTTTTACAAAAAAAAAATTTAAAAAGTGTAAAAATTATTTTAATACATTCGCTCTGAGCACCCGGTATTTCCTTATTCACCTTTCCGTACGTAATAAGATACGCCCTCTTCCAATTTCGACGAAATAAATAGGAGTATGTGAACATTATGAGATTACCGTAAGCCGCAAGGCATCAAACAATAACCAGTACTTTTCGAATTATCTTAAAAACAAATAATTTTATCGGAATTTTACAAAAATCAAGAAACAATCAAAAATGATTGAACACATGAAGAAAAATAGATAGGAAGTCATTAGCGCACGTACAAAAAAAATATGGGGGTAAGTGTGTACTTGACCACGAAGCTGTTTTGTGCCATGTCCCAATTGACTCAAAATCCTCTGGTAAAAAAAAGATTATAGGGAGAATATACAGCAAACTGAATTTCAATAAATTTCAACAACTTTGTAATGCCAATAACTGGAATGAGGTAACACTGGAATGTAATGACCCATTAACTAAATTCCATTCGATGATGTCCGATATTTTCAATACTGCGTTTCCTCTCAAGGAGATCAAGAGTAAACCGGGAAAACCTTGGATAACGAAAGGCTTGAAAGTATCTGCTAAAAATATGAGAAGCTTACATTTGATTAAAAAGTATGCTATGGATAATGTAGGATTCGTCTCATTTTATTCTAAGTATCGGAAAATTTATAGAGGAACTCTGAGAGCGGCAAAGCAATTGTATTATAGACAAAAGATAGATAATTCAGGTAATAGGCAGAGGGAGAGTTGGTCAATAATTAATGAGTTGAGGGGTAAAAAATATACCGTCCCTATGGAAACAAATCTAAATTGTGGCGATATTAATGAATACTATTGCTCTATAGCAGAAAAGATATCCAAAGAAATCCACCCTACAACGGACCCCTTGGATTATCTAAAGAATATTACTGTATCTGAATCCTTTTTCTTCATGCCAACGGACATTGAAGAATTGAAAAGAACAATTCATGAAGTGAAAAATAAAAATTCATCTGGATATGATGATATATCCACAAAAATATTTTCTCACTTACCTGACTGTGCTCTTATGAGCCTGGTTGAAGCTATCAATTTTTCATTCTCATCAGGAGTATTTCCAAAATGTCTGAAAAATGCGGTGGTGATTCCTCTACATAAAGGTGGGGATATGGAAAATCCGGCCAATTATAGACCAATCTCATTGCTACCTACCCTCTCTAAATTAATTGAGAAACTGGTGAAAAACAGAGTGACGGCATTTTTGGCAAAGCACAAAATTATAAATTCCTTTCAATTCGGGTTCCAAAGTGCAAAAGGAACAAGTGATGCTATTTTTAACCTACTGCAAGATGTATATTTCAATCTCAATGATGGTGATATTACGGCTGCTGTTTTTTGTGATCTAACTAAAGCTTTTGACTGTGTCAACCATAAGATTCTGCTCAATAAATTAGAAAGGTACGGCTTCAGAAATGTAGTTCTGAAATGGTTTGAGGAGTACTTATTGGGTCGGACTCAAAGCGTATCTCTCCAGAACAAATTTTCAAAAAAAATGGAGATAAAATGGGGAGTACCGCAATGATCGGTGCTCGGTCCAATGCTTTTCTTGATATATATCAATGACCTAGCTTCTATAAATATCACGGGAAAATTTACTCAATTTGCAGACGATACCACATTACTATGGCATAATGAAAATGACATGGATCTTCACGAACAAATTAATAATGATGTTATCAAGGTAAAAGCGTGGTGTGATGCAAATATGCTCTCTCTGAACATATCAAAAACTAATATAATCTCTTTTAAATGTCATCTGCCACAACTTTATTTGGGTAATCAAGAAATTAGTAGTAAGAGAGCAACTAAATTTCTAGGCTTATACATTGATGACAAGTTGAAATTTGAAGATCATATAAAGATACTGGGAAAAAAAATAGCATCTGGATGTTTTGCAGTGAAAACCACCTCATGGGAACTTGGTAGGGACATGGCCAAACAGGTTTACTTTGCTGTAATCGATTCTCATCTCAGATACGGGATTTGCTTTTGGGGATCTTGTAGTAGAGTTCTATTCGACACGATTTTTGTATTGCAGAAAAGGGCATTGAGATACATGTGCAAAGCCAAATTCAGGGATTCGTGTAAGCCTTTATTTATAGCACAAAGAATCTTACCACTACCATGCATCTATATATTGGAAACAGTATGCCTTATCCAGAGTAAGTTTAGAGGAGTGCAATCAACTCCACAATATATGACTAGACAAGCTTCTGATTTAACTTTACCACTCCCTAGGTCTGCACAAATAAAAAATTCCATTATATATAATGGCAAGAAAATGTTCAATCACTTACCTAATGAAATGAAAAGGATCACGGATAAAAGAAAGTTCAAAGTTTCTTTGAGAAATTTTTTGCTAGACAAAGCATTCTATTCACTGGACGAATTCTATTTGGAAAAATTTTAGATTCCATTTTATGTCATTCTACTTAATCGTATTGTTAACTTGCCTTTTCTCATTTTACCATACTTTTGTATTGTTCTTTTATTTATTTATATATATGAATGCATATTGTATGTTTTTTAGATATCATAGGTTTTTAGATTATTGTCTGTCATGATTTTATAAGGTTTTAAGATAATGTACTTATGTTTTTAGATTTTATTGCCGTCTGACCTTGTAAAATTGACGTGTAGTGGTCTGCACTACAAATGTATGTGATGAATTTCATGTGTATTTAGGTATATATCGCGTAGTCTTCCCTATGTGGCCTGAATGTTCAAATGATATGTTTGTTGTTTTTCACCCTAACACTTTGTCAATAAGAACTACCATTCTTGAGACAATAAAGTAATTTTGAATTTGAATAATTTTGAATTTGAATTTGAATTTGAATTTGACCCCCAGTATTTTGAATATTTGACAGTTATTTTCTGTTTTGTTTTCCTCACACGATGTAACTCTTTGTGCTGAAGTAATGTACCTATTTTGAGATTAATATCTTATTAATTACGCGAGTAATTAGAAAAAAACAGTTTTTAATTTTCAACTTTGACACCCTGTATATCGAATAAGAAGGGCTAAAATGAAAAATGGTATTTAGAAACTCATATTATTATTGTTCAAGGAATATATGGTTAATGGATTGACCTCCTTTTAGCGGACACCCTGTTAGATATATTGAAAAAATATAGAATTTTTTCTCAGCTTTGTACGTTTCGGGAACGAATCAGCTACCGTTCCCAACATAAAAATGCAAACATATTTTCCTTCGAATAGTTTCACACTTCTCATACAAATGAGTTACAGGATGTTTTCATTAATTGACCTTGGATCTACCATTTTCATGTTCAGTTTTCAGTAGTGAATACCATGTTCTATCTATATCAACTGAACAGGAAGCAATGCTATTGTCTCCGTTCAGAAGAATGCAAGCGGATTCCTTGCTTTTTCTCTTTTGGTTGTTATCTTTATTTCCTATGATTTTGATATAATTCCATTCCGCCGTCCATTTTCAGTAACTGGACATATCCTTACGAGGAAAGAAAATACCAAATAATCAAGTAAAAAGAATATGATTTATTACGATTCAAAATGATGAAGGAATGTGAATGGCAAACCAGAAGATATTCATTTCGTTTTAATTCGAGCATGAATTTAATAATACAATGCTGATGGCTGCTTTTTTAAGTGTGCATAATTTCGTTAAATATTTTTAATTTATATCAGGATTTATCAGGTCGTTAACTTCCAGCACCAATTATTCCTAGAAAAGTAGATTAAATGGACTGAATCGTTTTCAAAGTATAAACGCCTTTAGTCATGTCTTATTGATATTGATATTAGTATGTATATGCATGTTTTCTGTTTTTGAAATGTGGAATGACCTTTGTGATAATTCTCTAATAATTATGATAACTATAAATTGCTCTTCAAAATATCAATATATAGTTATTTGTTAGTCATCAGATGAACTTATACAGGGTGACTCTAAAACACCACATCAAATTGAAGGATCAAAAGAAAACCCTACCTTCTATAAATCCTCATTATAAAAGTCTTAACGACTCAGTTATTTTTTTTTTCGCTGTTGGTACTATACAGGGTGTTTCATAATTGAATGCTGATCCTTAAGGGCGATAATCCTTGGATGATTTCAAAGAGAAAAGTTCATATCAACATATGTCCTAAACCTCTTAGTTATTGAAAGTTGAAATTTCAAGAAAAAAATGAGTTTTTCATCATAATTTTGTATCACTCTTAGATATTGTTATGATATTTTGTATACACCTTTTCATTATTAGAGAGCATTTTTGTACGTGAAAGATATTCAAAAATTCTCACCAGTAGCGTCCGTACGGTGTTTGAACTGACAATTTTTGAAGAAAAAAATAGTACGCCACTGATTTTTCTGAGAACCAGATTTTTTTTTCAATTCTTATTCATTTTGGAGCAAATGTGGTTCCTAGACTCACTTTCATACAACGTACCGTTTTCGCGTAAAAAAATAAAAACCAAAGAATTTTGTTCCTTCAGTTCTTGGATATTGTTTTTGGTAATTCAGTAGACACCCACTATAAGTGGAAACACATTTTGTTTTGGGACGAGAATCAAACTTTTACTTTTACCACCAGTGATCTCCTCGTAGACCTGATATTGAATGTTTAGTTTAAAAAAACGCTGTAGGCTTCTGATTTCAACACCCTGTAGCTCAAAAACTAAGAGGTTCAGGACATATGTTGATATGAACTTCTCTCCTTAAAATCATCTAAGGATCATCGCCCTTTAGGATCAGCATTCAATTATGAAACACCCTGTATACTACGCATTTCTTGTTACTTTCTTTAGAAATATTTTCATTAGAAGTTTTCCGAGTAAATTTTCAAAATCATGATTAATCATTTTCAGTAAAGACAATTTTACAAACATGTTCAAATGAAATACCTGACACTTAACCATACATTATTGAAAATTATAAAATTAAGACAGCAATAATTGTGATTGGTTCTTGTGTTTTAGAGGTTTTTATGAAGAGATTATTATTGTTAATAATATCGATACTAGAAATTGCGCACTTTTAACTCAGTTCTAAGATTGCTGAATTTGATTAAATTATGTGCATGTGCTACCAGCAATAATCATCAGTTGCCTGCATTTTTTGCATATTTTATATTACTGCATGTGTTTCGCTTTGCTTGACAGTTGTACAGCAAGAAAAAACACACCAAACCCTTCTGAATGGTGTCGCACAATTCGACAAAACCACCATGAAGCATGCTCAAACAACGGAAAAAGTTGTATTACCAGACCAACAAGGTAAGTCTTCACTCGGAAAATAAAACAAAAAAATTCATAAAGAAAATACAGTTCTCAACACCACTCATAATTTGATTCTTTTTCGACGACCTGTATTTTTTGAAAAAATTGACCGATCTTCATGCGGTTTTCGATATCAGATTTGATATTTCATCGGCTTCAGAGAGAGCTAGAACACTCTGAAAAAGTTCGCAGAACAAAACCTACACAGGGTGTAAAGTGAAACCATTACACTATGGTCTACGTTTCCAATGCTACCAGAACTCGAGAAATTTTGTTCTGATCAAAAGTCAGTTATATTATGATACACTGGGACCTCATCTCGGGACATTTTCGTGATTTCTCCTTAATTGGCCATTGGAACAAAAATTAGATTGTTTCGAAAGTCTTGCATTTCTTGAATTTTTCTCTACAACTCGACTTGGAATATTGGGAAGAACTATAGTTATGCAAAATATATACAAAGTAGAGACGGAAAAAATTTCAATTCTCAATTATTCTGGTTTTGCTTTCAATGTGCCATGAATTTATGGGATACTTGAGAAATGAAAATTTTGTCTCTTTACTTTGTGAATAACTAGCATATGCACTCTTTCTGTTTGCTTCGATTCTGGTATCGATTCTTTCTTTGAAAAAATTGGTTCACTAAATTAATAATTGGACTTTTGATGTTTTAATTACAGATAAGAATCTGAATCGATCGAAATCGCCAACCTATAATTTTCAAAGTTCAATAATTCAAAAATGGTTATGAATATCGATATGGATGTTCAGATGAATATATGGGGTGTTTCATTTGAAAAACTCGTGAAAAATCACTTCGAAAAGTTCCGAATTGAAAAATCATTTTCAGCCACCCTGTATCATTTGAGGGCCTGAAACATTTTCAGAAATGTCACTCATCTTTTCAATAAATGATATTGAGATTATTTTTTCTTAAATTTTATAATTGTGACAACAGTGATATTTTCGGTAGGCATCTGCAGATGACATTACTTCGACAAAAAAATTCATAACTTTGATATGAACGAGATATAGTCAACGATATCATAGGAGTGGATGAAGGTCACAGGGATGCTTCAAAAAATATGCAAATATACAGGGCATTCCATTTAAAAAAAATGATCCCGACCCTCTAGATTATTTTTGGTGCGCCCTGTATATGCGGCAATAATTTCTAGTTATGGACCTTGTTGTCTCATTCACATTCGTTTTTGAGTCAGGTTTCTAGCTATCATAGATGTCGAGCAATCGAGCTCCGACGAATATAAGTCTTACCTTTATATGCCTTCAATATTTTCGATAAATCTTCCCAATGTTCTATAAGTTGATATTGAGTCTCGTTTATGTAGAAATTAAGTTGATTTTTCTGTTTATTATCCGAAATAGGTAAAAGTTCTATAATTTTGATTATTGTTTTTGATGATGAAGAACTAGGAGAAACTAAAACTCTTTCATGTTATCAAGTTCTTCATCGAACATTATCGTTAATTTCACCTATTGTCACTTATTCGCGATAGAAAATAAGCGTACGACACCTATCGGAGTTCTTGAAAGCTGTCAAAGCGACATGTTTACTTTGTTTTCATTGGTTCACATTTGTTTTGTGTTTGTGCTAATTGGTCATATCATGAAAACGAACCGCTCAGAAGTGTTCAAGTTGCTGCCGTCAGGTGGAGCGACGAGTTATTTTCTATCGCGAATAATTATACAGGAGCTTTTTTTTTTGTCGAAGTAAACTTCACATGTAGGTATCAATAAGAATTTTGTTGCCTGGCAATTTTGACGAAACAACTGCATCTGAAAAAATAACGAGTCCATAGGACGAGTAAATTGTCGGTAAGACAATTCAATTCATCAAACATTAGTTTTTCTGCAACCGACACAAAAGTCGTCCATTTTGATACCAAAATTAGCTCTTAAATTGACGTTTCTATTACTGACACAAAAATAGGTATGTTGCTAGGCAACATATTTAGTTCCTAGGAGCTAAAGTTGAATTTTAGTTCCTAGGAGCTAAAGTTCAACTTTAACTCCTAGGAACTAAAAAGGATGTACTGGACGTCATCAAAAATAAACAACATTGTGACGGTTGGTTATTTGTGTTGACGCATACCTGATTTGTTTCCGATTTCAGCAGATTTGGCATTTCATACCCATGCTGGAGATATAAATACACCTTATTATAGTTTAGTGTTGGAATTATAAACATCTCAGCTAAGTATTTCTGTTTGATCAGGAAAGCCTCCAAGATTCAAATACTTGCTTGATCTGTATTTCATTCGTTATTCTCGAGATGGATAACTTGTTTTTCAATAATCACGGCAAGCAATTGTTTTTTTGTCTCAAACAACGATATTGTTTAGCTTCATTTGATTATCAAGTCAAACACAGTGTAGTATGGAGAGGAATAAATAATCGCTATTATTATTGTTGTTATGCTCACTAACTTAACATTTTCCACGTCTTGTTCCTATAGCTGGCACTGGCGCGGTATTTGCCATTCGAGCATCTGGTCCATACACAAATGTCACTCTGTGGTTGTATTTATATTGAAACTACAACTCGAACATCCTTGAAAACCTAACCTGCTGTTAATGCAGGTAGAATATTATTACCACATGGATTATTTGTCAATATTTGTTGCATTGCATACATATGGCACGGCATTGGTGGTTACTTCACATGTTTATTTGAGTTAATTGTTTCGGTTGCAGAAAAAATAGCATGTTTCATTCGGATCAAAAGTGACTTTGTTCGACTCGCAAATTTTGCTTTCGCTCGGCTTCGCTAAACGCTCCGCCTCGCCAATGCAAAATTCGCTTGTCAAACAAAGTGTCACTTTTGATCCTAATAAAACAATCTACTATTATGGCTGGTTGTCATGCTTTCAAAAGTTAGGTTCCCGTTATTGTCACTGGAAAAGCTAGGGCAAACTTTTTTCGCTGTCATAATGAGAAAATCACATGGCTTGTGGGATTTTCCATACATGAATTAAATTGTCAAAGAAACTGAATTTTTTATTTCTCTTTCCATTTTGAATTTTATTTATGGATGCATTATATTGATAAATCAATGGAGAGTGTATACCTAAAATGTGAATATTTTTTTGTTTTCAGTCATTGAACAGGAAAAAGGTCAAAGACAACTAATCTCAGGCATTGAGAATTTCGACAATACCAAACTGAAACACGCCGAAACCCAAGAAAAAAACCCTCTGCCCACCAAGGAAACCATCGACCAAGAAAAGAGTGCTTAAAAATATATATATGCTTGTCATCTTTGGGGCTCAATCCAATGCCAAGTCTTGTATTATTTTATACTTTTATATATTTGATAAACTATTTATATTGTAAGATGACTATTGATAGGGGAGGAGTGTTAAAAGTTTTCCCTTCAAGAAAGATGTTAGATGGAAACAGGGCATGATTTTTTTCCTCATGTGCTCCTGTAATCATTTGTACTTATTTTGTATTACATCTTTGGATATGTCTAGTGTATGACTGAATTAATTTTGCATGAATTATGGTGCTTCATTAAATTATATATGAAATCATTATCAGGTGCTTCATTTATTTTCTTCTTTCTTGATAAAATACACAGCAGTCACTAAGTACCATGAAATATGGTAAAATTCTTAGGGGAGAAGGAAAGCTCAGTCATCTCATTTCCTTCTGTCCTATGATGAAGCATGGACTTCTACCAGAAATTATGGTAATATGGTTATTATTTGTAAAAAATTATCCTGGGTGAAAACTGAAAAGTGTCAACATTTCAACTGTACCTATAACAATAGGCACACTGTTTGATGCTACAGGGTGAAATAATAAATATTGTAGAAGTATAGGTAGGTAATTGAATGTTGGCTAGAATTTCTGTCTTCACAATGTTCAATGCCGGAATATGAAGGAAAATGCTAGGAAGCAGTGTTGATGAAGAACTCACAAAGATCGATAGGTAATCGAAAATACGTTTTCTGGGCCAAAATAGAATGACTGAACTTGATGGTTACCCATCATATATTATATATTGGATCAGAAAAAATGTCTTATTCATAAATAGGGATAGACTTCTATTTTGGAACCGTGTTTTTCATACAGTTTGAAATTCAAACACTTCCCTTAACACCTACCTACATATATACATATAAATATTGTGCTGGATATTGTGGTAATTACTGTTACCATGAACTTTTTGGTACAAGATCATTTTCGGAAGGATATCTTCATGAATATGTAAAGGAAGATAGGTACTCACCAGGATCTCTTAGTTGTATTAGAGTGCAGATCATTTTTAATCTTGAAATATGAAGAAACAGGAAAAGTCTGATTGCGTATTGGGATGATCTTCACAGGGCAGTAAGTAAACATCATTGAGTAGGAAAATGGAGAATGAGTTTTCGTTTCAGAGCAGGACATCTAGTTCATTTCAAAAGTTCAAAAGTATAAAAATAAAACCGTACTTTGAATTGTGTATCAAGGATTCAAAACATTTGAAATTATGAATTGAAATAATCAAAATGGCTTCAACTTTCCACTCTTCTTCAATTTATTTCTTGATATCAGCATTGCCAACTTGAATACAGCTCATTTCTATTTGTACTTCTATGGCCCATAGAAAAAACGGTCATGTGGTCTAAAATCAAAGGACCTTAGACCCAATGGTCTCAACGAACAAGCAAACGAACATGCTCCAAGCTCTGACAGTAAACAGTTGACATTGAGTGTCAATTCAAAAGTCAAATGAAACGTAAAACGTCAACAGTCAACTAGCCTAGTAGCTCTTTTCCTTTTATTCCTGTGTTATTTCTGACTTGTGGTAGGTGAAAACTGTGAAAGGATCTTCATATTATTATTATTATATTTTCTTCCTGAAAAGAACACTTAAAATCAACCAAAAATGGCCCTCCACGTTCCGAAAGCCCCAGGCTTTTCTCAAATGATGAAAGAAGGCGCTAGGGTGAGTATATGAACAGAAAATATTACAACAATTAACATGTGATTCATATCAACCCACACCGGTTTTCACAAAAAACGAAATCATCGCTAATCCACATTCTAGCACTTTTCTGGACTAGAAGAAGCTGTAATCAGGAACATAATAGCTTGTAAAGAGTTCGCACATTCTGTCAGATCTGCCTATGGTCCCAATGGCATGAATAAAATGGTCATCAACCACATAGAAAAGCAATTTGTAACCAGTGATGCTGCCACAATCATCAGGGAGCTAGATGTAGAGCATCCAGCTGCAAAACTCATGATAATGGGCAGTCAAATGCAGGACTCTGAAGTAGGAGATGGGACAAATTTTGTTATTATATTGGCAGGTGCACTACTAGGTAAGAAAACCAAAGAATTTTTCTTAGGAATGTTTCCAAGCAGGTTTTTTGTTACAGAATGTTCAGAGGAGCTGATAAGATTGGGTGTGACTCCAATTGAAGTAGCTGAAGGCTTTGAAACTGCCTTGGAAAAGTGTCTTGAAATCCTCCCTACTCTTGTCTGTAGAGAAATCAAAGATTGCAGGAATATTCCAGAAGTTGTGCAAGGAATAAAAACCTCAATCCAATCCAAACAATATGGAAATGAAGATTTCTTGGCAGAGTTAGTTGCTAAAGCTTGTGTTTCAATCATTCCTGAACAAACCACTTTCAATGTAGACAATGTCAGAGTTTGCAAGGTTTTGGGATCTGGGTTGAACAGCAGTCAAGTAGTGCAAGGGATGGTATTCAAGAGGCAAGTGGAGGGAGAAATCACAAAAATTGAGAAAGCAAAAATTGCATTGTATAGCTGTGCTGTAGATATACTTCAGACTGAAACAAAAGGTAAGTTATATTGTGATAATGTGTTTTGGTGTTTTTATTCAACTCAATTCCTTCTGATTTCTTAGATGTCTTATTGGTTATCTGTATGGATTCATGGTTTTTATGATTTTCTAAGGCTTTATTGTACTATCATAGAAATTAAAATTCTCAAAAATGTTTTTGTCAGGTACTGTTTTGATAAAATCTGCTGATGAGTTGATGAACTTCAGTCGTGGAGAAGAGGACCTATTGGAAATCCAGATCAAAGCTATTGCAGACACTGGTGTCAAAGTTATTGTGGCTGGTTCCAAATTTGGAGATATGGCCATGCATTATTTGAACAAATATGGTATTATGGCAGTCAGATTAAATTCAAAGTTTGATTTAAGAAGACTCAGTAAAACGGTATGAAATATTCCTTCTACATCTGAAGAAGTTATTATTTTATAATGCTTTTTAGGTTGGTGGAACAGTGTTGCCAAGACTAACTGCTCCCACACCTCAGGAAATTGGATATGCTGATATAGTTTGTGTAGAAGAACTTGGAGACACCCCTATTGTAGCTTTTAGACTAGTAGGTAAGGAATCCAGGATTTCCACCATTGTGATTAGAGGAGCCACAGACAACTACATGGATGATATAGAGAGAGCTATAGATGATGGTGTCAATACTTTCAAGGTAAGAAATATTGCTGTTGAAAATATTTGATAAGAAATAATTGTTGGATTTTTTATTTCTCTGTGTAAAAAGTTTGTTTAAGGCTTTTTAACCAGAAAAATCCAGTCATGAATTGCCAACTGCTGGCTAACTTTTTTGAAATTTGTATTATTTTGTGATTTTAGTACAATTTTCCAACATTCACACTATATTTGATATTTGATTGTTGATTTATATCTTTGAGAACTATTGCTGCTGAATTTTGTTAGTAAAATGCATGTTGGGTTGAGTTTTTTGCATAGCTTTGATTTTTCTGTGTGTAATGCTAGCAAACTGATGAAACTTGAATTTGAAGATATTGGCATAGCATTCCTTTACAAGGGTCTAGCTAGAAAGCTAGACCAGTAAAACTTTCAAACCTCAAGGTTATCAGAAGGTAATTCTTGCTAATAAGATTTTTAAGGTTATATGAGGAAGGAAAATATCTCTTCTGCATGAAAAAGAAAAGTACTTTCAGTAATTTTGCACTTATCATGGGATGGGTTTTTTTTCGAAAATTTTTTTGGTACTTACGTATTTTTGTCTGAAAAACACGAATTTGATAATGAAAATGTGAACAAACCATTATTTATTGAGATATTTCACTATAAAGTTACAAATTTCACCTTCTTTTCCGCCTGTCTTTGGGGCGCATTTAGAACAATTTGCCCTTCTTTTTCCATCATTGGACAATTTATATATATCACACAATGTTGGACACATTTTTTTTATTATATGAGTCAACTAGGAATATGATTTTCTTGTGATTTATCCATGTTTAGTGAAAAGCAGGAAGAATATCATTTGAAATAATGGCGTGTGTGATGTCATTCCAAAGCAATCTATTGACATTTGACATCTCCTATTTGGATTACCCATTGATTAAATGGCGGTCATCTGGTATGCTTGCTCACTAAATAGGAAAAACTCGCCATAAAAATCATATTTCCTGTTGAATTTTCCAGCTTAAAATGTGTCATTGAAGTACATCATGAGTATATGAAGTGTCCAATGACAAAATAAAAAGAGCAAGTACCTGTAAATGCATCCAACACAAGGGGGAAAATAAGGCAAAATTTCGAACTTTTTCTTGAAATATCTGGATAAATAGTGGTTTGTTCACATTTTCAATATCAAATTCGTGTTTTTCAGGCAAAAATATAAGTACCAAAAAAAATTTTCGAAAAAAAACCCATCGCATGATAAGTGCAAAATTACCGTACTTTCAACCCAACTTGTCCTGAATGAACTTTTTTCCTGAAAAGTAATAATAATAATAATAATAATAATAATAAAAGTGCTTTATTGGTTACCCAATACCACAATCCTTCAGCCTGTAATACATTGAAATCATGTTTATGTGAATTGTTGTTTTTTGATGTGAGCATAGATCTAAATACACATGTGAGTAAAAAAAAAATGAAGGAAAATGTTCAATTTCTCAATTTCTTGGCATTTCTGCAATGTTGGTGATGCATTCCACCAAGGTGTTTACTGGAAACTTGTGGTCTCTGTAGGGTTTCTTTGGATGCACTGGGTTTGAATGATCTGCAGGTTACTTTCATTGTTGGAGAACTTCTGTGCTAGTTTTTCCAGCCTCTTGCTAATTGATTGTACATTAGTGAGTTGGTAGAGAAGTTCATTTGGAGGGTTGTGAAGGGGGTTTTGAGGATGTCATATTTTCGGGATTGCTCTCAGGCTAGATCTTTCTGTTAGTTCTAGATTCTTCTTGGGTGGCTTTCTGGTGTTGATGTATATTAGGTGAGCATATGGGGCGGCATATAGGGCTTTGTAAATGTGAGCTGCTGTTTTTCTGCCAATGGGCGTGTACATCTTAGTAAAACTTTTAACTCAAACCATGTTTATTATGATCCTTTTATACATAAATAATGATTGACGACATAATTCGATGGGAAAATTAACTGGAATGTTTTATTTTTGGACATAAATAATAGTACCTTCTGAAAACGGACCCTCTTATGACATAGAAACCTTATCTCCCCATAGTTAAAAGAAAATACCAAACGCCCGACGGAGACTGGCGGCAACTGATATATTAATTCTTTCAACTGTGATCTCGCGCTAATTCACTCTGTTAGAAATCATGTATCATTCATCACTGTCTGGAATAGTCTTGTTTCAGTATAAGCTATGGTATTAGGGTTTTGACGTCACATCATCGCCTCGTTTTCAGTAGAGTCACGGGATGGTATTAGTTTGATGAACTAATACCATCCCGTGACTCTAGTTTTCAGAGATCCGAAAAATCGGGGATTTCAATAATTTTTTATAAAACGTAAGGAGCTCACAGCAAGTAACGGTTTGCGGTGATGAGCTAGTTTGGGTGAGTTCTATCGAATTATGAAATGTAATTTTTTTATGATATAAGCCCATTCCTCTCTTATCATATGTTTAGTTCTGCAAATGTTTGAGTCTTGTGATACACTGTTTTTTTTTTCATGCGTTTGAAGTGGTGATTAAAGTTCAATTTCGGGTCCAAGTGAACTCCGAAATACTCGGCTACTGTGCTTGTTCTCACTATATGATTATTCACACTGAAGGTGGATCATTGGAGATATTATGGTTGAATATTATCAGTTGGGATTTTTCTGGGTTTGGCTTCAGTCTCTATTTGTCACACCATCTCTAAAGTATCCCTGATTGCTTCTTGTAACTTTCTGAGAAGTATATTTTTGAAAAAAGTGAAAAAAATTGACGCCTCACATGTTCCTAGTTACTCAATATGTAGAAGTAAGAAATATCATGTGTTGTGGGTGACGTCACTTGACCTCCATGTTTGAAGATTCACTGGTCTAGCTAGACTAAAATAAAAAAAAAAAACTAGTCATAGGATTGAGTTGGGCCCATGAGAGCTTTTGATCAGGATATCACAAACTACAACATACTATTATTCCAGCCGATTTGACCGGGACCCAAAAACCCGTAAGAGCGGTGCGCGGTCCTTTGTAAAAGAAGAAATCACAAGTGTGACATAGTTTTATTGTTATCAATTCTTTTTATAGGAATGAAAAAGCATTAATAACCTTCGAACCATCAATAATTGGTTGGAAATGACTCCTCCTACCACCCCCACTTCTTTTGATCCATCACTTATGGGACACCCTGTATAAATAGCTATTCTCTTTCAGTGTATCGCTCGTGACGGCAGATTCGTTCCCGGCGCAGGCGCCACCGAGGCCGAACTGTCCGTCCAGCTGGCCAAATACGCGGACACGCTGCCCGGCCTCGAACAGTACGCAGTGCGAAAGTTCGCCGCAGCCCTGGAAACGTTCGCTAAAGCGCTGGCGGACAACAGTGGACACAGGTATACAGACACGCGTGAAACCCATATATGTAGTGTCAAGAAGTACATTAACATCACTCAAACTCCCGTTCATTTCAATATCTTTCATCATTAATTGACTTTTCCGAATTAAAACATTCAGTACATTGTAGTTTCGATCAGGTCGGCGGAGTTTATAAACGTCATTTTCTTTATAATTTGCAAAGAAACCGCTTACCCCGCGATAATACATAGGTAAGCAGTATCGAAAGGTAACGACCATTCCCATTGCGGAAAATTGCGAATTTAGCATCGATTTCAAATATAAATAGAACCCGAATCGTTGAGGATGATCATTATTAGCTCAATCGTCATTCGATTCGTCACTAAGAATTATTATATTTAAATCACAACATAACACTCATTCATTGATTGCTGACTTCCAAAGTGGTGAGTACTTGTTTCTTGATTAAATGTCTCCTACTATCTCGTTGAGCTACTGGACAGTTTATGGTGACATAATTACATGATGTATTCAAAGATGCATGATTTTTTCATGAAATTGAAACGCAAATTGACTAGATCTTGATTCATACAGTTCTCGTCTCTTTGGACCGCAAAATTTTGAATCAATGCGTTTTTAATATCTTCCCAGTTTTAAACACCGTGAATTGCACAAACATCCTCAGCTTTACCATCTGATTCATTCAATATTCTGAAAATTAGTTGGATTCTCGCGGTCGGCATAATCCATTAAAATCAACTGATGCACTTATAAATCTATGAAGTAAATTCGGATTTCCATCGAATTGTGGAATCACACTGGGGTTTTTCATATCTAGAACTATCGGTGGAGCCATGTTACTATTTTCTATGGTGAAGTTATCTAAAAGATTGACTACAAGATCGACCATATTCAACTTTGAAGCCTGATTGATTTTGCTCGAGGATCAATAGTTGAAGAGGAGTCAGACATGTACTGAAAAATATTCTACTTACATGACCACCACTGTCGCTAGACCCGATCTCATATTAGATCCTCGTGTACTTCTGCAAACGGCTGTCCTCGCTATTCCGTTTAAGAGTTGGAACTCAGACGATTTCCAGACCGATTCCCACGAAATATCCTACCGACTGCGCCACTTGAAAGATTCGGAGTCACCCTGTATAAATGAATCTACTACCATAAAAACCGCAGAAAAAAATAAAAATCTACCTGTCCGAGCGTTTTCCCAAGAAATACAGGCCTGACTTTGAAATGGATTTGTTGTTGTTGCCGCTCACTGTTATAATACAGTGTATCCCACTTACCATGCTCACCATGGGTATCTTTTTAACGGTGAGAGATACGAGGTCGGTTAAATGACACCAAATGTGGAGTTTGTCAAGGCCAACTATAATGTGAAAAAATATTTTGATCAAATCTATTCGTTTTTGTTTTATACGCAAAAAACAGATTTTGATCATTTTCATGTCTCCTCCGTAACTTCTTTATTTATGAAAATTTTCAAATAGTAATTTCACATTCTCATGGCAGTTTTTCAAAGTGATTTCAAAAAAAATATGAAATTTATACCAACTCTTCTAGAATTTGAGATATCAGCACCAACTTTAGTTTTTCAAATGTAGGTCATAGCTCACTATGACTAAGTTACAAACAACTTTTTTTTTTCTTACAGATGATATGTCCCAGTAATAGTTTTGTGCTGATAACAACGGAGTTATCGTCATTTATACAAAAACAAAAAATTATTTGGAAGCCGCCATCTTGAAATTTATAAATTTTAACAAAAAAATCATGATCTCCGACCTCAAAAACCCTCATTCACCAATTTTGAATGGAATGGGACCAAATCATGTCCGCCATCTTGGAGCAGCCATTTTTTTTAAATTGATTATTACTATTAATTATAAACATCTCAGATACCGCCACCTACTGAATAGAACTTATGGCTTCATTGCTCTCTTAAGGATGTTTCATCTTGTTAGTGTAAATTAGAGTTCCTAAATGTACTTGACACTGCTGTTTTGACGTATACAAAAAATGTCAAAACCGCAGTGTCAAGTACATTCAGGAACTCTAGTGTAAATAATCGAGGCTGATATTATCATAACATGGAAGAGCGGCCGAGGCCGAATGGCGCCAGCACTATTGTATAGTTTGTGTTACCAAGTTTTTTCATAAAATAAAGACACATTATTATTATTATTATTATTCCGATAATTTTCATTAGGTCTTCGGCCGTGTTGGAAAAGTTGCTCGCTGCGCACATGAACGGAGATAAGAACGTCGGGGTGGACATCGAAACCGAGAACGCGGTTTGCAACGCTTTGGAGAAGAATATTTTGGATTTGTACGTTTGCAAGTTCTGGGGCTTGAAATATGCCGTGGGGGCAGCCGCGACGATCCTGAGGGTGGATCAGATCATCATGGCCAAAAGGGCGGGCGGGCCCAAGCCGAGGCAGCCCCAGGGCAGCGATGATGAATCTTAGTCTCAATCTCAGTTTTCTCAGTGCTTTTTTTAATTCATTATTAATGCGACTCATTTTTCACACTAGCTTATTGATACTTTGTTTCATCCTGACTATGTACTTTTTAGTTATTTTTCATTAAAATGTTTATTAATGTCATAGTGTATTTCTTGTACTCAATGTTGAGGAAATTTCATGGTTTTTGACGAAGACGTTTATAGAACTTGAGAGGAATTACCCTATATCTTGGAAAATTGACTGAGAAATAGATAAATAATATCATTTTTTGAATTGACTCGGCCGTTACTTGATGGAAATCCATAACAAATGTGAAAACTTCACAAACGATGAGCTTTCCAAAAAATTCTCATACACATTACATGTTTCGCTAACACAGTAGCTTCGTCAGGTGATATACTGGTACAATTCCTGAAAATTGCAAAACTCGCAGAAATTCCTGAAAATTGCAGAAATAGCAAAAATTCCTGAAAATAATAAAAATTTCTGAAAATTGTAAAAATCGCAAAAATTCCTGAAAATTGCAAAAATCGCAAAAATTTCTGAAAATTGTAAAAATCGCAAAAATTCCTGAAAATTGCAAAAATCGCAAAAATTCCTGAAAATTGCAGAAATAGCAAAAATTGCAAAAATTCCTGAAAATAATAAAAATTTCTGAAAATTGTAAAAATCGCAAAAATAACTGAAAATTGCAAAAATCGCAAAAATTTCTGAGAATTGTAAAAATCGCAAAAATTCCTGAAAATTGCAAAAATCGCAAAAATTCCTGAAAATTGCAGAAATAGCAAAAATTGCAAAAATTCCTGAAAATAATAAAAATTTCTGAAAATTGTAAAAATCGCAAAAATTCCTGAAAATTGCAGAAATCGCAAAAATTCCTGAAAATTGTAAAAATCGCAAAAATTCCTGAAAATTGCAAAAACCGCAAAAATTTCTGAAAATTGTAAAAATCGCAAAAATTCCTGAAAATTGCAAAAATCGCAAAAATTCCTGAAAATTGCAAAACTCGCAGAAATTCCTGAAAATTGCAGAAATAGCAAAAATTGCAAAAATTCCTGAAAATAATAAAAATTCCTGAAAATTGTCAAAATCGCAAAAATTACTGAAAATTGCAAAAATCGCAAAAATTTCTGAAAATTGTAAAAATCGCAAAAATTCCTGAAAATTGCAGAAATCGCAAAAATTTCTGAAAATTGTAAAAATCGCAAAAATTCCTGAAAATTGCAAAAACCGCAAAAATTTCTGAAAATTGTAAAAATCGCAAAAATTCCTGAAAATTGCAAAAATCGCAAAAATTCCTGAAAATTGCAAAACTCGCAGAAATTCCTGAAAATTGCAGAAATAGCAAAAATTGCAAAAATTCCTGAAAATAATAAAAATTTCTGAAAATTGTAAAAATCGCAAAAATTCCTGAAAATTGCAAAAATCGCAAAAATTTCTGAAAATTGTAAAAATCGCAAAAATTCCTGAAAATTGCAAAAATCGCAAAAATTTCTGAAAATTGTAAAAATCGCAAAAATTCCTGAAAATTGCAAAAATCGCAAAAATTCCTGAAAATTGCAAAAATCGCAGAAATTCCTGAAAATTGCAGAAATAGCAAAAATTGCAAAAATTCCTGAAAATGATAAAAATTTCTGAAAATTGTAAAAATCGCAAAAATTCCTGAAAATTGCAAAAATCGCAAAAATTTCTGAAAATTGTAAAAATCGCAAAAATTCCTGAAAATTGCAAAAATCGCAAAAATTCCTGAAAATTGCAAAAATCGCAAATTCCTGAAAATTGAAAAAATTTTAAAAATTCCTGAAAATCGCAAAAATTCCTGAAAATTGCAAAAATCGCAAATTCCTGATAATTGAAAAAATTTTAAAAATTCCTGAAAATTGCAGAAATTGCAAGAATTCTTGCGAATTGCTAAAATCGCAAAAATTCCTGAAAATTGCAGAAATAGCAAAAATTGCAAAAATTCCTGAAAATTGCAAAAATTGCAAGAATTGCAAAAATTCCTGAAAATTGGAAAAATTCCTGAAAATTGTGAAAATTTCAAAAATTCCTGATAAATGCAAAAATTGTAAAAATTCCGGATTATAAAAATTCATAAATTCCTGAAAATTGCAAAAATCGCAAAAATGCCTGAAAATTGCAAAAATTCCTGAAAATATAAAAATTTCTGAAAATTGCAAAAAATCCTGAAAATTGCAAAAATCGCAAAAATTCCTGAAAATTGAAAAAATTTAAAAAATTCCTGAAAATTGCAAGAATTCTTGAAAATTGCTAAAATCGCAAAAATTCCTGAAAATTGCAGAAATAGCAAAAATTGCAAAAATTCCTGAAAATTGCAAGAATTCTTGAAAATTGCTAAAATCGCAAAAATTCCTGAAAATTTCAGAAATAGCAAACATTGCAAAAATTCCTGAAAATAATTAAAATTTCTGAAAATTGCAAAAATTTCTGAGGATTGCAAAAATTGCAAAAATTACTGAAAATTGGAAAAATTCCTGAATTGTGAAAATTTCCAAAATTCCTGAAAAATGCAAAAATTGCAAAAATTACTGAAAATTGGAAAAATTCCTGAATTGTGAAAATTTCCAAAATTCCTGAAAAATGCAAAAATTGCAAAAATTCCTGAAAATAATAAAAATTTCTGAAAATTGTAAAAATCGCAAAAATTCCTGAAGATTGCAAAAATCGCAAAAATTTCTGAAAATTGTAAAAATCGCAAAAATTCCTGAAAATTGCAAAAATCGCAGAAATTCCTGAAAATTGCAGAAATAGCAAAAATTGCAAAAATTCCTGAAAATGATAAAAATTTCTGAAAATTGTAAAAATCGCAAAAATTCCTGAAAATTGCAAAAATCGCAAAAATTTCTGAAAATTGTAAAAATCGCAAAAATTTCTGAGAATTGTAAAAATCGCAAAAATTCCTGAAAATTGCAAAAAATCGCAAATTCCTGAAAATTGAAAAAATTTTAAAAATTCCTGAAAATTGCAGAAATTGCAAGAATTCTTGAGAATTGCTAAAATCGCAAAAATTCCTGAAAATTGCAGAAATAGCAAAAATTGCAAAAATTCCTGAAAATAATAAAAATTTCTGAGAATTGCAAAAATTTCTGAGGATTGCAAAAATTGCAAAAATTCCTGAAAATTGCAAAAATTGCAAGAATTGCAAAAATTCCTGAAAATTGGAAAAATTCCTGAAAATTATAAAAATTTCAAAAATTCCTGAAAAATGCAAAAATTGTAAAAATTCCGGAGGATTATAAAAATTCATAAATTCCTGAAAATTGCAAAAATCGCAAAAATGCCTGAAAATTGCAAAAATTCCTGAAAATATAAAAATTTCTGAAAATTGCAAAAAATCCTGAAAATTGCAAAAATCGCAAAAATTCCTGAAAATTGAAAAAATTTAAAAATTCCTGAAAATTGCAAGAATTCTTGAAAATTGCTAAAATCGCAAAAATTCCTGAAAATTGCAGAAATAGCAAAAATTCCTGAAAATTGCAAGAATTCTCGAAAATTGCTAAAATCGCAAAAATTCCTGAAAATTTCAGAAATAGCAAACATTGCAAAAATTCCTGAAAATAATTAAAATTTCTGAAAATTGCAAAAATTTCTGAAGATTTCAAAAATTGCAAAAATTACTGAAAATTGGAAAAATTCCTGAATTGTGAAAATTTCCAAAATTCCTGAAAAATGCAAAAATTGCAAAAATTACTGAAAATTGGAAATATCCCTGAATTGTGAAAATTTCCAAAATTCCTGAAAAATGCAAAAATTGCAAAAATTCCTGAAAATAATAAAAATTTCTGAAGATTGTAAAAATCGCAAAAATTCCTGAAGATTGCAAAAATCGCAAAAATTTTTGAAAATTGTAAAAATCGCAAAAATTCCTGAAAATTGCAAAAATCGCAAAAATTCCTGAAAAATTGCAAAAATCGCAAATTCCTGAAAATTGAAAAAATTTCAAAAATTCCTGAAAATTGCAAAAATCGCAAAAATGCCTGAAAATTGCAAAAGTTGCAAAAATTCCTGAAAATTGCAGAAATAGCAAAAATTGCAAAAATTCCTGAAAATTAGAAAAATTTCTGAAAATTGCAAAAATCGCAAAAATTCCAGAAAATTTCAAAAATCGCAAAAATGCCTGAAAATTGCAAAAATTGCAAAAATTCCTGAAAGTAATAAAAATTTCTGAAAATTGCAAAAAATCCTGAAAATGCAAAAATCGCAAAAATTCCTGAAAATTGAAAAAATTTTAAAAATTCCTGAAAATTGCAAAAATTGCAAGAATTCTTGAAAATTGCTTGAATCGCAAAAATTCCTGAAAATTGCAGAAATAGCAAAAATTGCAAAAATTCCTGAAAATAATAAAAATTTCTGAAAATTGTAAAAAATTGCAAAAATTCTTGAAAATTGCTAAAATCGCAAAAATTCCTGAAAATTGCAGAAATAGCAAAAATTCCTGAAAATAATAAAAATTTCTGAAAATTGCAAAAATTTCTGAGGATTGCAAAAATTGCAAAAATTCCTGAAAATTGCAGAAATTGCAAGAATTGCAAAAATTCCTGAAAATTGGAAAAATTCCTGAAAATTGTGAAAATTTCAAAAATTCCTGATAAATGCAAAAATTGTAAAAATTCCGGATTATAAAAATTCATAAATTCCTGAAAATTGCAAAAATCGCAAAAATGCCTGAAAATTGCAAAAATCGCAAAAATGCCTGAAAATTGCAAAAATCGCAAAAATTCCTAAAAATTGCAGAAATAGCAAAAATTCCTGAAAATAATAAAAATTCCTGAAAATTGCAAAAATTTCTGAGGATTTTTGAAAAGTGGAAAAATTGCAAAAATTCCTGAAAATTGCAAAATTCGCAAAAATTTCTGAAAATTGCAAAAATCGAAAATATTCCTGGAAATTGCAAAAATCGCAAAAATTCCTGAAAATTGCAAAAATCGCAAAAATTCCTGAAAATTGCAAAAATTGCAAGAATTCTTGAAAATGGCTGAAATCGCAAAAATTCCTGAAAATTGCAGAAATAGCAAAAATTGCAAAAATTCCTGAAAATAATGAAAATTTCTGAAAATTGCAAAAATTTTTGAGGATTACAAAAATTGCAAAAATTCCTGAAAATTGGAAAAATTCCTGAAAATTGTGAAAATCGCAAAAATGCCTGAAAATTGCAAAAATCGCAAAAATGCCTGAAAATTGCAAAAGTTGCAAAAATTCCTGAAAATTGCAGAAATAGCAAAAATTGCAAAAATTCCTGAAAATTGGAAAATTTCTGAAAATTGCAAAAATCGCAAAAATTCCAGAAAATTTCAAGTATCGCAAAAATGACTGAAAATTGCAAAAATTCTTGAAAATAATAAAAATTTCTGAAAATTGCAAAAAATCCTGAAAATTGCAAAAATCGCAAAAATTCCTGAAAATTGAAAAAATTTTAAAAATTCCTGAAAATTGCAAAAATTGCAAGAATTCTTGAAAATTGCTAAAATCGCAAAAATTCCTGAAAATTGCAGAAATAGCAAAAATTGCAAAAATTCCTGAAAATAATAAAAATTTCTGAAAATTGCAAAAATTTCTGAGGATTGCAAAAATTGCAGAAATTGCAAAAATTCCTGAAAATTGCAAAAATTCCTGAATATTGTGAAAATTTCCAAAATTCCTGAAAAATGCAAAAATTGTAAAAATTCCTAAATTCCTGAAAATTGCAAATATCGCAAAAATGCCTGAAAATTGCAAAAGTTGCAAAAATTCTTGAAAATTGCAGAAATAGCAAAGATTGCAAAAATTCCTGAAAATTAGAAAAATTTCTGAAAATTGCAAAAATTCCAGAAAATTTCAAAAATCGCAAAAATGCCTGAAAATTGCAAAAATTCCTGAAAATAATAAAAATTTCTGAAAATTGCAAAAACTCCTGAAAATTGCAAAAATCGCAAAAGTTCCTGAAAATTGTAAAAATCGCAAAAATTCCTGAAAATTACAAAAATTTTTCCTGATATCGTTTTTGATTGTGAATCATGAATGTAAAATTAGGGACCTAGTGTTTCAATCTAAGGTATTGAAATACTCTTCATGAGCTGTAATATATTGTGATGTGTTCGATACACCATTTATTATTTTGTCGGTAAAATATATGAAGTATTAAAAACTATTGCCATTACTATAAAACCACTTGAATAACCTACAATTTCTAGGAACTTTCGTTTTCACTCGTCTATCCAGTACTGACGTCATAAGTGCTCTTCCTGTGGTGCCAGATCTTCTATTTCAAGGAAATATGATGAAATGAAGTAAAAAAAAAACTGGAAATACGTTTCATTTAATAAACTTGGTAAACATAAAAAAATAAAATATACTCTTGAAAAAACAAAATGGTAATCCTTGAACATAACATTAAACCTATTACTAATATTGCCAGTCAATAGCATGAACAAATAATGGCTATATTGAAATAGTCTTGGCAATAATCTAACGTTATACTATTTATCATATTTGTAACATATGTACAGGGTGGCCTGAATTTGAGCCCTATCATTGGGATCTCGTAAACCGTAAAAGGAGATACAGGGACGGTTTAACTATGGCGAAGTTGCGTAATTTCAGGCATTACAAAATACCGTTTTGATATTTGAAAAATCCCGAATACTTCCAAAGATTTGTGAAAACTGAATATTCGCGATTTAATTATTTTTTTTATGACCATATTTGAATAGATGTGGCAAACAAAATTAACCATACTCATTGCTAGTTTTTCTGTTCTACAAGATGGTGTTATCAGATTTTCACCGACGTTTCGTCTTTGAGGTGCCACCACCAACTTTGTTTTTTCAAGTATGGCCCTAGATTTCATAATATGGATTTTAAGAGCTTTTAATCGCCCAAAACTAATGGTGTATCGCACTTATTCCAAAAATTCATATTGATGGCATTTTCCATAAGAACCCATGTGTTAGAGAGAGAAGAGAATAGATATCAGGAGATTGAAAGCTCTTGAAAGCCATAATAAAAAATACAGGGCCGTATTTGAAAAACCAAATTTTATAGTTGATAATGGCAGCTCAAGGCTGAAACGTCGGTTTGAAAATCTGATAACAACATCTTCTAGAAAAGTATTAATTAGAATATGCTACTTGTTTTGTTACATCTATTTAAATAGGGTCATAAAAAAATAAAAATGAAATTGCAAATATTTAGTTTTTTACAAAAAAAAATTCAAATTTGGAAACGTCGTTAGGCATAAAATTTCGCGACATTGCCATAATTCAACCGACCCTGTATCTCTTACGGTTCACGAAATCCCACTGATGAGGCTCTAATTCCAGCCATCCTGTACTTAACATTAACAATATACAACACAAGTTTCACATGTAGAATAATGTGATTCTAAAAAATAAGAGGAACATGGTTTTTATGGAAATCGTCGAGTATCTCGAAGGCACTACATTCACAGCCACATAGTGAGTAATACGTGTATGAAAAAAATTATTTGAATCACCCATGACATTTCAAAAGACCATAAGAATAAGTTTGAGATAATTGTTTTTGATAGTCAATACTTTGTAATTGTCTATAATGAATTGAAATAATCATCATTGTAGAAATAGTATTGAGCAAGCATTGAGAAATTACAAAAAAATTCATGGGTACTTCTTTTCCTTTCAGATAAGGCACTAAGTAGTTCATATATTATGAACTATAACAGTCTTCCAAGAAAAAAATAAAGTAACAAGTCTTGTAAAACAAATGTATACTATAAACAACATAAACTTATTTCTAAAAAAAAAATAAAGTAATACTCTTCGTAAAATATCATTACAAAACATTTTCCTGAGCCAATTTTGTTCTTTGAATTGTGGAATTTAAAATATTCCAACATATTTCACGCTTCGAACAAAAAATCTGAAAATGTATTGCTTGAGGATTGTAATATATGATTAGAGTGGATGTCATGAAATTAAAAAGAAAACTTCTTGATATCATGTCAGTATTTAGTACTTCCACTATTTGAAAAACATTAAATAAAATAAAAACATCTGAGTCTCTACACCAGTAGAGACAAAATAACAATTAATGGTGAAAAAGACATAGATGATCAATATTTACAGTAATACATAAAATGCAACCTGTTACTTACAAATGGTTAGAGAAAAAAACAGTTGATGTCATTCTTCGAATTGCACAATTACAAGAGGTAATCAAAAAGTCATATGTATATACAGAGTGCCTCATTTGAAAGCAAGCCACCCTCATAATTTTTTTATTTATGAAGTGATTTTCACAATTTTTTTTTGGAATGTAGACAGCGAAACGGTGTATTTTGGAGCTGAGCGGCGTTCATTTTGTCAAAAAATCAAGGCACACTGGATCACATTCAGAGGCGAAAATATTCAGAATCCATATAAGCGTCCTCTGAAATAGATCTGTACCAAGTTTCATGAAAAATTATTCAACATTAACCAATGTACAGTGTGTCTCATTTGAAACAGCACCCCCTCTATATCTCAGGTATTAGTCATGCGATCTTTACCAAATTTGGCCTGGTATGAATCATTATCAATATGGTCACAGACAAACATTATTTTAGACGGTGCCCTGCATTTTTATCAAAATGAAAAAGGGTAATTTTTTTATGAAATCATATTAGGATTTTTTTTACAGGAAAAGCGACTTCATAATATTGTTCTTCATAGTTTCAAACCCCCATAAGTGAATTTTCATATGATTCCTATGGAGGGTTTCAAAACAACAGGCAAATATAAATGGCATTTTTGCGAACATAATAATTATTTACTCGAAAACGGTGAGTTCAACATGAGATAGTATTTCTTGTTTTTTCTTTCAAATCATGATACAATACCTACCGCAGCTATTGGACGTTCCAAAATTTTGAGTTTATTCAAATGCTCTATTTTATCCGAAGCTGAAAAGGGAAAAAAATGGATTCTGTGACTTTTTTCGCATATGGAAGTTCAAAAGCATGTGGAACAATAATACGAAGTTAATTTTCTTGCAAAATATTCATAATGGAATGATTTCATAAAAATATACCCCTTTTTAATCTAATAATAAAGCACGGCACTGGCCAACAGGATGTTCGTCTCTGAAAAACGGATATTGATGGCCATTCATACTGGTCCCAATTTGGTACGAATCGCACGACTAATAGAGATATAGAGGGGGGCCGTTTGAAATGAAACACGCTGTAGAATCGTTAATGTTGAATATTTTTTCATGAAACTTGGTACACATATATTTGAGAGGACGCCGATTCCAGTGGTGTACGCGGATTATTGCAAGAAAAATCGCTAATATGGATTCTGGATTTTTCAGCCTCTAAATCAGATCTAGTCTAGTAGGTCTTGGTTTTTCAAAAAAGTTGACGTTGCTTAGCTCCAAAATACACCTTTTCCTCCACTACATAAAAAAATACGTGAAAATCGCTCCATAAATAAAATGTATGGATCACTCTGTATATACAGGGTGGGCCACCAGTAACGCCTCGGTCTCTAGAAGGCTAACCACTTATCTTCTTGGAATTCTTCCTCTCTAGGAGGTTGCATGTCAACATAGGCTACCATTTGAAATTATTTTGAAACATACAGGATGTCCCCAAAAATCACACAACACTGAAGTTGAACTTTTTTCCATCGAACACCCTATATATTATTTCATTTTGAGATTCTCCCTGGTGAGCTGATTTCAACAATCCATCATACTTGGGGTCTAGCAGTTATAATTACTGAGATATAGGGTGTGAGAAATCGAGATTTTCCAAGTTCAAGAATTTTTTGTGTCTAAACCATTCATAATTGGTCAAAACGGCTCACATGTCCCTATCTCAACTTTTGTCAACTATCTACTGACATTTAATTGAAACAAATACAGGGTGGTGCAGAATTCAGAATCTTGATCACCCTGTATTTGTTTCAATTAAATGTCAGTAGATAGTTGATCGAAAGTTGAGATAGGGACATGTGAACCGTTTTGGCCAATTATGAATGGTTTAGACACAAAAAATTCTTGAACTTGGAAAATCTCGATTTTTCACACCCTATATTTCAGTAATTATAACTGCTAGACCCTAAGTATGATGGCTCGTTGAAATCAGCTCATCAGGGAGAATCTCAAAATGAAATAATATATAGGGTGTTCGATAGAAAAAAGTTTAACTTCAGTGTTTTATGGTTTTTGGAGACACCCTGTATGTTTCGAAATAATTTTAAATGGTAGCCTATGTTGACATGCAACTTCCTAGAGATGAAGATTTCCAAGAAGATAAGTGGTTAGCCTTCTAGAGACCGAGGCGTTACTGGTGGCCCACCCTGTATAGTATTTTCCCAAGAATCATTTATTGTTTTACTTGTTTAACCCAATTTTTAAATTGAAAATCGAAATATAAAAGTATTCCTAAGGGACAATAATTTTTGCATCAAGTCTTCATTTGTATTTGAAAGCTAACAAAGCATTTTCAGTTTAGGTTTTTGAAGACAAAAAACTTGTTTTTTCATTCCGTGAATGGAATTTTTCTAGATCCAGAGGAAAATTTCTGTCGATTTTTTTTCTACTCCACCATAAACATTGATCATTAATGATAAAAAATAGATAACAAAAATAAAGGAACAAACAAAAACTTAACCTAAACCGCCTCAGGTATGCCTGGGGGGAAAGAAGAAACCTTGTGAGGTGACCCCAGCGGCGTACCAAGAAGGCGGGGGAGTCGGGGGGTAAATGAAAGGGTTGTAAGACATTTCCATGTGCGGGCTGTACATTATGGGGGTGGTTGGCATCACTATTTCGGTCATTTCGTGGGGTGTGGTCGCGTATAATACGGGGGTGCCTATAATTAACGTCCAGTTAGGTCAAAATTCCAATGGGAAAACAGGGATAGTATGTTTTGACCTTAGGGTACAAGAGTGAACAGTATGTCAATTTTTTTAAAGATATCCGAGTTATCTTTTGGAGATAGAGGCGCGGTTTTCACTTTACTGTCATACTTTTTTTGTGAAACAACAGCATACAAGTTAACGGTACCTTACTATTTTGAATAGATTTGAATGATAAAATGATTTTTTCTGTTGAAACCATTAAATTTCTGTCATAGAATCACTCCAAGAAGAACCCCTTCAAATTTCGTCATGATTTTTCTTCTTCTTCTTTAGGGTTTATTGGATTTTTGTCTACTTTCCCTAACATCAACATTATTTATTGTCCACCAACACACGACACTGAAATGTGAGTTCAGGGTTGGTAGAACTGACAAATATATTTCTTAGTATCGTGTCATTTGTCATCTTGCTAGGATATCTTCTTCTCCACCAATGTAGAAATTGGTCGTAAAGAACTACATTGAGAGTAAAATAAATAGTAGTTTGAGAAAATAAAGAAGCACTCTTCTATAGGAAGCCAAACTAAAGAGGTAACAAATAAAATAATGAAAGTGTGTTGATAAATACACAACATAGAAAATATTAGCACCTCCGTAATCAGTATACATTCTATGTTGCGTATTTATCAACACACTTTTATTATTTTATTTTCTACCTCTTTTTAGCTTGGCTATCTATAAAAGGGTGCTTCTTTAGTTTTTCAAACATTTATTTATTTTTTAGTTCAGCTAACGTGATTTTGACGAAAGAATCATAATCTCCTGCCTCGAAATCCATCAGATACTAATTTTTAATAGGATCGGATCATGATTACAAAAGTCGTCTGCCATATTGTATTCGCCATATTTAATTTTCCAATATTCAAGAAAGCATCATAATCTTCGACCCCGAAAACCCCCAAATACCAATTTTGAATAGAATCGGATGATTTAATTACAAAACTCGTCCATTAAATTGGATCCGCCATCTTGAAATTTCAAATTTTAGGGAAATAATCATAATATCCGATCCCGAAAACCCGCAGATACAAATTTTGAATGGATTCGGATATTAATTTCAAAACTCGTCCGTCATATTGGATCTGCCATTTTGAATTTACCAATTTTGACGAAAGAATCATAATCTCCGACCACGACAACCTCCAGATAGCAATTTTGAATAGAATCTGATCATAATTACAAAACTCGTCCGCCATATTGGAGACGCCAACATAAATTTTCGAATTTCATAATCATAATCTCCGATCTCGAAAATCCCCAGATATAAATTTTGAATAGATTCAGATCATAATTACAAAACTCGCCCGCCATATTGGATCCACCATCTTGAATTTTTGAACTTTTGACGAAAGAATCATATTCTCCGATCCCGAAAACCGCCAGATACGAATTTTGAATAGGTTCGGATCATAATTTCAAAACTCGTCCGCCATATTGGATCCGCTATCATACATTTTCAAATTTTGACGGAAGAAACATAATTTCCGATCCCGGAAGTCCCCGAATAAAATTTTTCAATAGATTCGGATCATACTGTCTGTAGGTTAATCGAGGAGGTGGTGCATTTATATTGAATCAGCCATCTTGAATTCACTAATTTTGACGTAAGAATCATAATCTCAGACCTCGAAAACCCCAAGATTCCAATTTTGGATAGAATCGGACCATAATTACAAAACTTGTCCGCCATTTTGTTTTTTTGTCTAACAAAAATGTCATGTTGCCTTGCCACCAGAGTTATGTACACCCACACGCCAAATCAATGGGTTCCTTTCTTTAAATTGGATCAAAATCGAGTCCAAAAGAGTCAGTTACATACATGCATTAATACTTACAGGTGAAGCTAATAAAAAGGTGTTAATTAATAACTTAAAAAATGGCTGAAGGCTTGAGGTTTTCTATTTTTTCAAATTTTCTACATCGTTTTTTTCAAATATTTTCGATAAAACACGTCATAGTATTTAGGGCTATCTGGCAAAATTTTGGAATTTTTGACTATGTGGTGAGTTTCTGTAAAGACCTTTTTGGGACAGCCTGTATATGGTTATGTAATAATATTATCTCTCCACTCCAGCACTAAAGACAGCGATAGTCCGTCACCATGCACGGAAGCCGAGTTCATCAATGTTCATAAGATTCTATCATATGTGTTCTTCTTATCCAACAAATCCGTTGTAATCCGGCCTGATTACTGGCGTAGGAGCACATGTAAAATCTTCACAAACGATAAGATTTCCACAAAATTATTAATAACATGAAATGTTTCGCTAACACAGTAGCTTCATCAGGTGGAATACTGGTACAATGAAAAAACTAACCATGGCTTGCCTAACTTTTATAAGTTTCATTTTTTTTATTATCAATGATATTTGAAGGATTCATGGTATTACCTTCGATAATTTGAGAGGTAACCAAGATATTGGAGATGCTATTTATCTCAACAAGGAAAGCTTCTTTATCTCCAAAGACAACTGAGATATCATGCTTTAGTACCGAAAATTTGACATACTGTTCAAAGTAACATGTTGAATTAGTCCCAACAATTTTTTTCTGTTCAAGTTCTTCATAAAATTCGGTACTTCCTTCAAATTTTGTTGTAAATTAATCAATAAAATAATTTCACAGAGGTGGTAAGCAAAATAAAAAAAAGGTTAATTTGAACAAAAAAATATCAATGAAAAAACATGAGCACTAAATCATCTTGAAACATAATTTGAACAATTTGATTCCTCTTACCTGGAGGCAGAGTCATCATCTGCGGGTAAACCTCCACACTGGGGCTCTGCGGGGCGAAACTCAACGGCGGAGGCCTTTCGTGCGCATGCGTGCCCATCTCGTTCCTCGCACAGTACTGAGGAGCGGTCTGCTCAGCAGCACCGACCTGCTCGACAGACTGAGACTTGGCAGCCTCCACTTTTTCCACCTCGTTCTTGGGAGGTGGTGGGGGTTGCAGCTCGAAGGGCGGAGGGGAAGACCATTGCGGGTAGGTTTGGTACGGTTCGACGTGGTAGTTGTAGTAAAAGGGGTAGTTCGGATCTGCGAAGGTACGAAAAACAACCATATTGTAGAAGAAAATTGCCAAAGCCTCAAAATTTTACGTGATGTGTGGTATTTTTGCCATCCAAGCATCCACGCTCCTGGCGGCACTGTTAACAAAATAACCACAATGTTTATGCTGTTTGATAACCAAAACCCAAAAAGTTACTGTTGATTGTGGTGAAGTTACCTGTTGATTGCGGCAAAGGTACCTGTTGATTGTGTAAAACTTACCTGTTGATTGAGGCATTTTTGTGATGGTAATCAAATGCAAACATATGGCAAAGTTACCTGAGCATACCTCTAATTTTGCCATTGAAGCATTCATGCTTGAAGAGCTAAGGTCCTTGGCAAACGATCCTCAACCAATAAAGTCAGTAGTATTTTTGCCATTAAAGCACTCCTGTTCAAGGAGGTTGTTTGAAAAGACATGGTCCAAGACAAAACTTCCTAAAATCTTAGGTTGATTACCTCATGAGACAAAGAGAGACAAAACCTTCTGAAATCATAGGTTAATTAACTCATGAATAGCATTTTTTCCATTCAAGCACTCATGCTCAAGGTAGAAAAACTGGCCAAGACAAAATCTCCGAGAATCAGAGTGATTGATTACCTCTTACCTCATGAATAGCATTTTTGTCCAAGAAAAATTCATACCTACCAATTATTGTTGTGTTGATAAAGCATACATGTGGCAAAGTCATCTCATAATTTTGCCTCTGAAGCACTCATGTTCGAAAAAGCACGGTCTTGTATGGAAGTTCCTCAATAGATCAATATTGTTCAAAAGTAGGTATCTGAATTATATGTTGAATAACATTTCCACCATTGCAGCACTCATGCTTACGATGGCAAACCTTATTGTTAGATAATGACCATTGTAAGGCACATACATGTGGCAAAGCCATCTCTAATTTTGCCTGTGAAGCACTCATGCTTGCACAGTCCTTGACAAACAATACTCAATGTTCAAATATGGCTTGAATTATGTGATGATTGATATTTTTGCCATTCAAGCACTCATGCTCAAGATGGCAAACCTTCTAACGTACTCACCATGATAAGGCACGACGTTGGGGGTGACTGACGCCGACGCGACCAACAGCTTGAAATTGAATATGCCCTGGCTGAGGACAGGACAGCCACACGAACTGCTCAGGCAGGGTAGATTTTTATTTAAAAAATAGATTTTTTGAAAACCTGATATCTAATCTTGCCTGTGAAGCACTCATGTTTGAAAAGGCATGATCCTCGACAAAAAAACCTCAATAGATCAACATTGTTGAAGTGTGATTGAATTATGTAGAATAATTCTTTTGCCATTCAAGCACTCATGGTTAAGGGTGGAAAAACCTATTCAAAGAGATGGGATCCAAGACGACACCTCCGAAATATTTGGATTGATTACCTCATGAATAGCATTTTTGCTATCCAAGCACTCATGCTCAAGGTGGCAAAACTTGAAGTTTGAAAAGACATGGCCCAAGAGAGAACTTCGCGAAATATTAGGTTGATTACCTCATAAATACCACTTTGTGCCATTCAAGCATTGATGCTCAAGGTGGCAAAACCTTTTCGACGAGAAAAGTTCCTCATTAGATCAGCATTGTTCAGAAGTTGCTAAATTATCTGCTGAATAACATTTTTGCCATTCATGCACTCATGCTCAAGATGTCAAACCTTGATAAGTACTCACCATGATAAGGCACGACGTTGGGGGTGACTGGCGCCGACGCGACCATCGGCTTGAAATTGAACACGCCCTGGGTCAGGCCAGGACTCTGCGGCCACACGAACTGTTCGGGCGCCGGCGCCAGATAGGGCAGATTTTCAATTTTGTAATCATAACTTTTTGAAACCCTGATATATAACCCTGCCTGTGAAGCACTCATGCTGGAAGAGTTATGATCCTCGATAAAAAAACCTTTAATATATCAACATAGCTGAAGTGTGATTCGTGAAATATAAGGCCGATTACCTCATAAATACCATTTTTTGCCATTCAAGCACTAATGCTTAAGGTGGCAAAACTTGTTGTTCGACGAGACAAGTTCCTCAAGAGATCAACATTGTTCAAAAGTGGCAAAATTATGTGCTGAATAACATTCTTGCTATCCAAGCACTCATGCTCAAGGTGGCAAAACTTGATGTTTGAAAAGACATGGCCCAAGAAAAAAAACTTCGCGAAATATTAGGTTGATTACCTCATAAATGCCATTTTTTGCCATTCAAGCACTAATGCTCAAGATGGCAAACCTCGATAGGTACTCACCATGATAAGGCACGACGTTGGGGGTGACTGGCGCCGACGCGACCATCGGCTTGAAATTGAACACGCCCTGGGTCAGGCCAGGACTCTGCGGCCACACGAACTGTTCGGGCGCCGGCGCCAGACAGGGCTGCCAGTGGGCAGCCTCGCAGGGTTGCTGGTAACGCGGTGGGGCGGCAGGGCAGGCCGCGTCGGGCTGCAACGCCGCGTGGGCCGGGTCTGGTTGGGGCTCTGTGGGGGTGTCTTGCTGGGGAGTAAGGGCGTAAGGGGGGGAGTTCGACAAGTTCTGCATTTGCTGAAAAATTGGTGGAGGCTGAAATTGTCATTCTTTTTGTTTGGTTGCAGTGATCGAGGAAAATTTTCAATTTGATCTGAAGGAAATTTAGCCAAATCGTTAGCCCAGTGCATTTTTTAATTCTTGTCTGATTGTGGTGGAATTTCGACCATAAGGTAGATTTATGAGTCGAAATGAATGGCCTGTGGCATAAGGGAGTGGCTGAACTCAGCTTCATTATGGTTGTGTGGTCCCTTCTTAACACAATGGTTTTTTATTCATCTCTACTAAAATTATAAATGTGAATGAATGTTTGTTTATCGGGCTTTCACGCCAAAACTACTCAACCGATTATCATGAAATTTTCTATACATATTAAATATGGATAAATTCTAAACAATTGAAGCTGTAGGAGATCTTTGATATTTATTCAAGGGCTTCAACATCAGCAAAGCCGCCAGTAAAAGCTAGTGTTAGTATCTTTTTCTTGAGAGGAAATACAAGGGTTTCCTTAATATTTATTAAGAATAATTCAGAACAAGAGCTTATCAATCAAAAACTAGAAAAAAACTTTGGGAAATCAATATCACTATTCTCACCATGGTTTTTTAGCACTCCCGACAAAACACCTCAATTACATAATACAAACAAAAAGCAGACTTCCTAGATGTAGTCAATAACAAGTTTCCTCTCCTCAAGCTCAAATTATAGTTGATCAAATTTCTCAAGCAGCCTCAAATTCTTCTCAAATGGCAAAGCAAAGATGCTCTATAGGTTCTGAATTATTTGTGGAAGAAAATTTAAAAATTTCGAACTTAGAACACTGCATCTTCTTTAAAAAAAAACATTGACGTGAATAAAAAACCATTGTGTTGAGAAAGGATCACACTTCAATCCAAAACATAATCAAGCTATGTTCAACCACTCACTTTTGTTACAGGGCATTATGAGGTTAGGGTAGGGGTGATAGTCACCTTTTTTTTTCTTTTAGATGATCAAGCCAACAGCTTTCCTTGGGAACTGAAATTCAAGATAACATTCCAAAAACATGAATGTTTGGTAGAAATTTCATCATAATCAGAGAAGAATTAAGACAGTTACAAGGTGATCAATTTGGCATTTTTTTTCTGGTCGTTTTTTTTTGCATGTGAGTGTGAATTAATAAATTTTGAACCTCCTGCTTTCTCTTCACCATGGAGTAATTTCTTGTAGAATTTCAGGGAGTTACATGGAATTAGAGGAATTCTTTGGAAAAACATGGGAAATTAAGAAATTAACAGAACATTTTCATATTCATAAAGGAGCCTGAATAAGAGTTTGGAATGTCCAGAAATATGGGACCTACTCCCATTTTTGTTCAAAAAATTGATTATAATTTCAAAATAAAGGCTACTTTGATGAATAATTGAAAAATATTAAATACATATATATGGTAATTTTGTTCTAATTATTGAATTTCTATGAAATTGAATCAAACTTACCAGTGGTATACCAACATAGTCCTCAACATTTTCAACATCTGATTTAATTTGAATATTGGTAGAAATGATACTACTCTCACTTTTTGTGCGCTTCTTGTCTTTATACTTTCTTTTTGTCTTCAATGCAGATTTTTCAACTGGAGGAGAACTAGTATTTGGCCCACTTATTACACAATTCTTCATAAACCTACAGAAATGATCACAAATAAGTCAAAGTGTACTATTATAATAGAAATAGTTGTGACATCTTTTTTCACAAGTATAACAAATTATATGTTTATAGAAAAAAGAATTTGCCAAAAGTTGATTACTTATACCTGTAAGGTAATGGCCATGGTTTGGCATCATTTTCAGGTGATAAACTGGAGTAGTCTACTGTTTTCTTCTCTGCTACTTTTGTGAGGAACACAACACATTTGTTTTGTCCTTTCAAAATTTCCTGAATGTAACAATCAAATTTCTCATTAGTATCAATATCATTGAATATGCATTTTGTTCCTAATATCAGTTTATCATCACCATAGTACCACTCCCCTAATCGCATTTCTAGAAAGACAAAAATTTGCTCAAACACAATACAAAAATAGATTGTTCAAATGGTGAAACATAAATAGGACCTACCCCTTCTCAATTCACCCCATGAATCATACTCTATATTCCTGTAGATATTTGGATCCAAAGCTTTGGCTACTTTGAATGGAAAAGGGGCAATATTGGTAGAAGTTTTCTCATCACACTCAAATGAAAGTACATTTTCTAGAGGTGTTAGTTCAGACTCAGAACTTTCAGCCAATTCTTTATTTTCCTCTATCTGTACCTCACCCTGAGTAAGAATGTTCTTGTCATACAGCATACTGTTTACTATTTCCTCAACATCAGGAATTTTGAATACCTTCTGGTACAGAATTTTGTAAATAATAGCTGAAATAGTTTGCATTTTATCTATCAAGTATACTGAAGAATGCAATTCATATATAGGTAGATTCATTTTTTATTTGATAAACTGTGGGTAGGTAGCTGTGTTCCTGTTATTGTTATATTATTGAAATTATTATTTGAAAACTGAAAATAACAAGTACATACATTGACAAAACCCAGCTGAAGCAATGTGTTCTCTCTTGTAGACCACATCAAAATGATCTCTGTCCATCAGACAAAGAAGAAAAACACTTGGAAGGTTCATCTTTGTGAAATCAACTATTTCCTGTTTGGAGGCATCAAATAATATCACATCCCGACTACAAAATCAACAAAATTCATTATCATTATATGCCAGTTCCTTGTCCAAACTGCCAATTATTTTAATCATAACTTTACTCACTTGTACTTTTTGCTGATGATGTTCAACTCTATGTCTCCACAAAATACCATGTGTTTTTCTAGTTTATTCAGATGTTCACTCCACTGTGTTTTAGAAGATACCAGGTTTGAAAACTGTTCATAGTTCTTTCTTGCATATGATATACATTCTTTGCGTACTCTTTCATGGTAAAATTGACAATCAAACAGCTAAAATCAAAGGGTAACTCGATATTGAGTCCGTTTTTCTGGAAGGAAAAGAAAACCCACCTGTTCACTGACTGCTCTGAATAAGCATGTTTCATCATAAGCAACGTTTTTTCTATATAATCCCAGTGTATCTAGCCAGTTGTCTACTGCTCCAGGGTTCCTTCCCTTTTTGCTAATTTTTGACATGATATTCACGATTTTGGGGAAACTGTGAAAAATTGGAAGAAAATCTAGTGGTCTCATGAAAACACAAAAAACCTTCACAATAATGAAATGACAACAGATATCGAACGATTTAATGATTTATTCCCTTTTCAAGGAAATCCATTCAGTATGTACCATAAAAAAACAATAAATTAATAAAAGTAAACTTACCAATAAAGTTACAAAAACTTTTTCAAACTATGGCCTACCTGCCACTGCCAACCTCACGTCCACACACGTGTAAACTTGTAAACTTGAATTTATTTTGGCCGTTAGGCGTCCGTTTCAGAATTTCCAATCAACTGCGCAAAGTTCCGCGCATATAATAAAAAAAAATCATTCCTTATCCATGAAACCATGAAACTGAAACACGATTTGCTGAAGTTTGAATTTATTTTGCTTACAATGACAAATAAAACAAAGAAGCAATTAAATATCAAATAAACATTAAACTGAGATGTCATTAAACATTTGATTTGTTGGCTGTGTCCACGAGCTGTGTCTACAAAAAAGCAGCATAATCATTTAAAAAACCATCAGAGCCTACGGCATATTTGAACTACTACCATCATCACTTGTCAGTTGTCATGTGTTTTTTTGTTGCACATGGGGTTATGTTAGGTTAGGTTCAGAAGTTCAGAGAGAAAGAAAATCAAACATCTTGGACATGAACATGCTCCAAGAAATTACTGAAATTACGGTTTGCCAATTTTTGCAGGGATTTTGAACAATTCTCATTCATCTCTGAGGCTTCCAGTAGTTAAATGAAATGGTAATTTCAAACAATGCTGAGTTTATTATTCAGAAGAATTACCTTGTCATTGAAGTCTGCTCGGGAGTTTGTACCTGCTAGTAGTATGTATTTTTCCTGTAGTTCAGAAATATTTTCATTATTTCGAAATCAATTCCAGCTATGGTGAGTGGAAAAAGCTATTCCATGAGTCCATCTGGATCTCTTGATATGGGGATGAACAGGATAGTATGGATAGATATGGAGGTATATTATTATTTTGTAATGAACCTGATGGTAGAAGTCTAGATTGTTCTGCATTTTTCAGATGACTGGTTTGAATGTAGATCAAGACAAGATAATGGAAATAGCCTGCCTTGTCACTGATTCCAATCTCAATATAATTGCTGAGGGACCTGAAATAATAATAAATCAACCCAAAAGTATACTGGACAGTATGGATGAGTGGTGTATCAAACAACATGGAAAAGTATAAACATAGATGTACAAAGGTTGCTCTGTGCAGAAGTTTTTCTAGTTTTAAGGAGTTCATTCATTATTTTCCAGCAACACTTTCATTTTTTGTATAGGCTGTATGACACCTGTTAAATTTGATGACAAATATGATAACAAAAATACATACAGTATAAATATACATAATATCAGAATATTTAGAACCAGTCCTATATTTTTACAAGAATGTTTGCAAATCTGGGCAAAATCAACACCTTTTTTTACTGCATGACACAAAAAATAGTTTTGTCATCATTTTTGTTAACATTAAAAGGTGTCATACAGCCTTTAAGCACAGATTAACAACCCTTCTTTAAGATACTCAACAATTTCCTCCTCGCTAAAGAGTTCAGGAAGCTAAAGTTAACAAATTCAGGAGAAAAAAATCTCATAAGTCCTATACAGGTGTCCGGAAATTATTCGCAAAAAATCAAGGGGGTGATTCTACATGATGAAATAAGGAATTCTTTCCATATGTATCTGGGTCCAGAAATGCATAGTTTTCATCATACAGTGTGTTTAAACTTTTAAACAAGATCGGTTTTTTATGAATATCTCAAATGTGCTTCTACCAATTTTCTTGAAATTTGGCAATAATATTCTTTGTCATGAGGGGCTAATATAGCCATAATTCAATTGGAATTATAAAATCCAGTGGCGTCCCGGGGGGCAACCTACCGAATATTATTGTCAATAAAATGTGCGCCACTGATTTTTTCGAATTCTGTATCTTCATAACCTATTGACCAACTAAAAATACAACATTTCGGTCTCTTGAATTATTTTGATAATTTGCTTCATTTCCATGGAAAAAAATAATTACCAATTTATTGCATAAATTTGTGCCAAAAAATTCCATCGAAATCTGAGGTGAAGATAAATGTAGCATCAATGTCCATAGATAGAGAATAAGTAATAAAAATCATTTTCTTCAAATATTCCTTGATACATGTTTGACACACTCTACACTCTGTATATTGAGAACTATGGTTCAGGAAGGCATTGTTTTCAATGATACAAAGTGTGTCAAATATGTATTATGGAATATTTGAAGAAAATGAATCTTAATTCATATTCTACGTCTATGGACATGGATAACACATTCAATTTCACTCCTGTTTGTGAAGCAATGTGTTGCACAAATTTATACAATGAGTTGGTATTTATTTTTTTCCACGGAAACGCAGCAAAATTGCAAAATAATTCAAGAGACTAATATGATGTATTTTTAGTTAATCATTAGGATATTGAGATAGAGAATTTAAAAAAATCAGGGGCGCACGTTTTATTGACAAAAATATTCGGTAGGGTGCCCCCGGGACGCCACTGGATTTCGAAATTCTAATTTGAGAATGGCTAAATCAGCCCCTCATGACGAAGAATATCATAACCAAATTTCAAGCGAATTGGTGAAAGAATATTTGAGATATTCATAAAAAACGATTTTTTTTAAAAAGTTTAACACACTGTATCTTCAAGACTATGGATTTCCGGACTCAAGTATATATGAAACAAATTTCATGTTTTCTCATGCAGAATCACGCCCTTGATTTTTTGCGCATAATTTCCGGACACCCTATATACATATTTCCTATCAAATGAAAGTTTAGTATTTTTTAATCATTTTCACTTGAAACTTCTGCATAAAATCCATGCAGGAATGTTTTGAGATCAAGTTTTCTAAATATAATGATTTGCAGACAGGGCTGACAGAAGCTTGTTTGAAGAGTAGCATCAGCTTAAAAGAAGCTGAATCTTCTGTCTTGGATTTCTTGTGCAAACATGTGGAAGAAAAACAATGTCCCCTAGCTGGAAATAGTATTTATATGGATAGGTTGTTTTTGTTGAAGCATATGCCAAAATTGCATGATTTCATTCATTACAGGTGAGCATTGAAACCAACTAAGCAATCAACTATTAGTATATAGGTAAAAAAATACTCACCCATATTGATAACTTATCAGTATTTGTCTGATGTCTGAAAATCCTGTTTTCTTTATTTATAGGATTATTGATGTGTCAACAATCAAAGAAATCTGTAGAAGGTGGAATTCAAGAATTTTTCATGCTGTTCCAAAAAAAGAGTATAGCCATAGAGCCCTACAGGATATAAAAGAAAGTGTGGAGGAGTTGAGATACTACAGAGACAATTTCTTCAAACTCAGTTAATGAAGATTCTATTAAGTAGTAAATAAATTTTTTGATCTTTTGATAAACATCACTATCAAACTGCAATATATTCACTCAGTATGTATTTTATTCACATGTCTTCATTTTTTGCAATAAATAAACTATACTATTTTATTTATAACAAAATATGTTTATTTCATGAAAATCCCATCCCATTCTCATTTTATACAGGGTGTCTGTAAAAGGTCTTTACAAAGACATACCACATATTCCTTAGACCAAAATGTAAGTCGATTTAAGTAAAATTACCTTGGTACAAAGTTGCATCGTTTGGGCTCCAGAGGGTGTTGAAATTACAATTTTTAAATCGTTTTTCCCATATAAATTTGAAACGGCACATACGATTTTGCTGAAATTTGGTATATTGATAGAGTTTTATGTGGCAAAAAAAATGGTGTCAAAATTTTGTCCGATAATAATACATAGGCGTAGAACTTGATTTTTTAAATCATTGCACCTTTAAAAATTCTACGCCAATGGAAGAAAAGGAGTTTGAGTATGAAATTTAGATTGCGCAACTCATTTACTTTAAAAAAGGTACTCGTGATAAGACTCGATTGCTCTCATGGTTTTTACGAAATTTGCATTTTAGTAATTTTAGAACATAAACAATAATTATTGAAATACAAACTTTGTCAGAACCATGAGAGTAAATCGAGTGTTATCAAGAGTACTTTTTTGTAGTAAATGAGTACCCAATCCGAATTTCATACTCAAACCCCTTTTCTGCCATTGGCGTAGAATTTTTAAAGGTGCAATAATTATTTGAAAAATCAAGTTCTACGCCAATGGCAGAAAAGGGGTTTGAGTATGAAATTTGGATTGGGTACTCATTTACTACAGAAAAGTACCCTTGATAACACTCGATTTACTCTCATGGTTTTGACAAAGTTTGTATTTTAATAATTATTTTTTATGTTCTAAAATTACTAAAATGCAAATTTCGTCAAAACCATGAGAGCAATCGAGTCTTATCAAGAGTACCTTTTTTAAAGTAAATGAGTTGCGCAATCTAAATTTTATACTCAAACTCCTTTTCTTCCATTGGCGTAGAATTTTTAAAGGTGCAATTATTTGAAAAATCAAGTTCTACGCCTATGTATTATTATCGGACAAAATTTTAACACCATTTTTTTTGCCACCTGAAATTCTATCAATATACCAAATTTCAACAAAATCGCATATGTTGTTTTAAATTTATATGGGAAAAACGATTTAAAAATTGTAACTTCAAGGGCCTCTGGAGCCCAAACGATGCAACTTTGTACTAAGGTAATTTTACTTAAATCGACTTATTTTGGTCTAAGGAATATGTGGTATGTCTTTGTAAAGACCTTTACAGACACCCTGTATACTTGATCAAAAGCAGTTATTAAAAAAATATGGTTACCATAAATCAAAATATTAAATACTTTAGAATACATAATTATATTCTTGAATAATTTGAATCAAGTACAGGTAAAATCCATCAGGTAGGAGATACAGGAGGAGATACATATTACAAATATTATTATTAGACAATATATCTTACACCGTTTTTTTTTCTTTTCCTGTTATGAATTTATATGAATCAATATGTTTGGTGTAATATCAATCATTGACATTTATCATCTATCATATTGTTATGGTTTTCCGTTTTCCTGGAAAACTAGATTAATTGATATTGTGAAACAGTAAAGTACAATGTAAAAAAGAACTCAATGAACCATTGTGATTTCCAAATAATGAAAATTTGATTGACTATCTGAAACATTGCTTCAGCATATACTTTTCCAATGATATAAAAGATGTTTTTCCCAAATAAGAAATATATTTACTTGAAACATAGTGTGAGCAGAGTATAGCAGTGTGAATATTCAGGTAAGTGGGTACCTACCTATATATATATTATATAATATAGAGTATGATTAAGATTTAAAGGCACAAATTGAAATGGGTGATAGATATAATCATTTTTATCAAATAAGTTTATATAAACATGAGTCAGATCTCGATCAGAAGAGGAGCTTAAGTTTATTTTTTTTTCTATTAATTATTATATCTTGCTCACTTTTGAAGATATCAAGCAGAAATTCAGTGTGGTTGTTACTTTCTAGAAGATCATCATTTTTTGAGCATCTTATATATGTTTAAAATCTACAGGGTGATACGTTTTTGGGGGTAGAGGCATCCTTCTTCCCCACAAACTTTCTCGTTGTACGCCTCTGATATTGTTTCGCTTAAATTTTATTATTGGATAACATTCGCAGAAAATGCAATTAATTGTACTAAAATTACAAACTGGATATCATTAGCGGAGATACAAAAAGGGTAGAACGTAAAGGTTTTGTTAGTTTTTAAAATTGGTTGAATTTCATCCAAGAATAAAATTTATGCGAAATGTAGACAAATTTAACATCTTTAAGAACGAATATGCTTATTTATTTCAAAAACTGATCGTTTCTCGAAACATTTTGAAGAGCAATAAAAGTTTCTAAATTGAACAAATCACATAATCCGGTAACTAGATGATGTCAGAGGTGTACTACTAAAAATTTTGAGTGTGGTATGAACCCTGTAGATTTTGAAAATCTTCAAATACTTAAAATAATGATCTCTCCTAGGAAGTAACAACCTCACTGAATTTCAAATTGATATATATCCTCAATAATGACCTCTTGATGAAGCTCCGCTACTAAACGAGATCTGATTAAAATGAGGCGATCTATCACACATTTCAGTTTGTGCCTTTGAACTTGAATCACCCTGTATTGGTAGGTATAATAGATAAAACATTTTCATATACTTATTATTAGTAATAATTGTCAACTATCAAGGTTATATTCCGGTATAGATTTTGGTCATGGCTACCATTCTGTCTACTGAATTTTTTCAACAAATAAACTACTCTTGCGTAGAACTGGCCACTTATTGGAGATTTTGATTACATTCAAGTTCTTTTACAACAATCATTTATTATTTGTATGTACAACATTAAATTGATTAGCTAGTTTTCCACATGAAATCGGATTATATTTCAAAAATATACAGGGTGGGGCATTATTAGTGCGTCGGAGCTCGATTGCTCGAGTTTTATGATAGCTAGAAACTTGATTCAAAAACGAATGTCGATGAGACAACAAGGTTCATAACTAGAAATTATTGCCGCATATACAGGGGGCACCGGAAAAAATCTAGAGGGTCAGGATGCATTTTTTTAAATGGAATGCCCTATATATTAGCACATTTTTTGAAGCATCCCTGTGACCTCCATCTCTTCCTATAATATTGTTGACTATATCTCGATCATTTCAAAGTTATTAATTTTTTTGTCGAAATAATGGCATCTGCAGATCTATAACGAAAAAATCACTGTAATCACAATTATGAAATTTAAGAGAGGATAATCATCATATCATTGAAAAATGTTTCCGCAATTCGGAACTTTTGGAAGTGATATATCTCGAGTTTTTTAAATGAAACACCCCATATAACACGAACATCTTTCATCTCAACATCCATATATTGATATTCAACAGTAATTACACAAGTGGTGGTAATTTTTTGATAATTTTAACTAGATGCACGAATCTTTGTTGCTATAGAAATTTCACGAGTGGACGAAGTCCACGAGTGGGATTTCTCAATAGCAACAAAGACGAGTGCTAAATCTAGTTAAAATTATTTAAAAAAATAACCAACACGAATGTAATTCGGCGTGATTATTTTTTTTACTATTTCGCAAAATGCCCCAGAATATGTTTATTAAACAATTATTTATTGAACAATCATTTATCATACAATTATATATCAAACAATTATATATCAAACAATTATATATCAAACAATTATATATCAAATAATTATATATCAAACAATCAAGAATGTTTACAATTTACGTTTGTAATGGTGCAATTATTGTATGTTATTGTACAATTTCCTTGAGATGAAGAGGTCGAAACAGTGTTTCCTCTCAAGTTGTTTATCATGCTTGCGTGATGCTCTTTGTCAAGTTGAAGATAGGGTTTGATGGAGCTTGCAGATGAATGTCCAGTTATCTTCAACAACTGCTGCTCACTTACTCCACTTTTAGCGAGTTGTGTCACAGCAGAAGAACGATGTGAATGGTTTGTAACCTTGATTTTGCTAGGATCCAAGCCAATCTTTCGGGCCGCTTGTTTTGTCCATTTTGCTATTTCATTTTGTCCTACCGGAAGATTTTTGTACCACCCCTTAGACAAAGGTTGCTGCCAATTTGGATTAGGTGTTAAAAATAAACGATCAATTTGAATATTTGCACTTCTTTTCGACATTAACTTCCGAAAGAGACGTACTGGACATTTTTCAGTCTCATTTTCATTTGGCGTTAAAAATTTGCTATCAGATAACCTGTGCGATCCTCCTTGTGCTGTTTTAGAAATTATTGGATTATATTCTATCCTTCCAGTTTGATTTCCATAATGATCCATTTCTTCTCTAAAATACTGTACTAATGCTTTTGTCGCTTCTCCGCCTCTCCAAGCCAATTCGTAGCTAGCAGTATGATAAAACTTCCTTTGTAAGCCATTTGGAGTATTTTCGTCCCATGCTGCTATCATTTTTTCTATTTCTTCTTTCTTGAGAGCAACAGAAGATGCTTTTCTTTTTTCAGGAATATGTTGAAGTTCTCGACGTTTGCAATTCCGCGCATCTCGCGCGGTCTTAAATTCAATATCAGTGAACGGATCAATGTTTCTATTATACTCCCTGAAATATTTTTCCTGGATAAGTTTTGCGGTGACATTCCACAAAGTTTTGACAACAGATTCTTTGTAGTTTTCTCCATTTTTTTTTCGCATGTTATATGCCCAGTCCTCCATAATTGATGCGATTTGTTTCATCTCGGTTGTTGCAGTCAACTCATAATTACGTTCAAGGCAGAACTCCAAAAACTGTTTCCATATCGTATTCTTGCTTTTTGTGGTGTTGATTGGTGTTGCTTGTTCGACAGCTAAATGTATTGAATCAGCCGAGCTTTGACCAAATCTCGTGCTCATGTCGGTTTCTGTTAATGACTAATAATAATTGTAAAGTTTTTCCGAACCTATACCAACTCGTTTAAACGTTAGAGAAAATCACAAAATACGAAGTCTGACTGATACTTAACAATGGCGTCGGTTCTGAATTCGAAATGTTTACATTGAGACAAATAGCTGCGTTACCTTGACAACCAAGTCAAGTCAATGCTAATTCTCTAAAGGTGCCCCATAGACTGCGTTGTTGGTAGGCCGTTTTGTTCGTCGAACAAGTCTGTTCGAACAAAAAAGACACAAAACTAAAGTGTGTGGCCAGCGAAAACGAACATTTTACAGCCACACACTTCGGTTGTGCGCAATTTTTGTTCGAACAGACTTGTTAGTCGAACAAAACAGCCTATCAACATCGCAGTCTATGGGTCCCTTTTTGTATCCATTTGAAGGAAGATCCAAACGTGAATAAGTCATCGCGGTAATTTGATACTAACAAATTATCAGTATGATTCCGAATGATTGGCTAGAATCACGCATTGATATTGGTTGAAACAAGGAAAACGTCACATTTTGACATGTAAAAAAAATAATCTTAACCATTTTTTAATTATATTTATTATTTTAATGAAAAAATCAGAAGTCCAATTAGGAATTTAGTATAGACTTGTTTTATTCATTGAAAGAATTAATACCATAGAATCAAAGCAAACAGAAATAGTTCATATGCTAGTTGTTCATAAAGTGAAAAAGAACAAAATTCCCATTTTGCATAATTGTAATTTACTATCCTGTTTTTTTTTTCTTAATGTTCTATGAATTTAAGGGATATAATTTGAAAATGGAATTTTTTTTCTTCACTGTAAATTATTTATGATGTTTGATTTAATCCCAGTTTCAATTCTTTCAATTAAAAAACTGGTTCACTGGATTATTGATTGGACTTTTAATGTTTTAATAACAGAGATAAGAATGTGTATCGATGAAAATGGCCAACCTGGAATTTTCAAAGTTCAATAATTCAAAAATAGTTACGAATATCAATATGAATGTGAGAATAAAGATGTTAGTGTTTCGATTCCCCACCAAATGGCCTAAAAATATATGGGGTGTTCCATTTGAAAAACTCGAGAAAAATCACTTCCAAAAGTTCCGAATTGAAAAATCATTTTAGCCACCCAGTATAATTTGAGGGCATAAAAATTCTATAGGAATATCACGCATCTCTTCAGCAAATGATATTATGTTTTATTCTCTCTTAAATTAAATAATTGTGACTACAGTGATTTTTTCGGCAAGGATATCTGCAGATGACATTATTTCGACAAAAAAATTAATAACTTGAAAATGATCGAGATATAGTAACTTTCTGACTATCATAGAACTCGAGCAATCGAGCTCCGACGCACTAAAAAATGCCCCACCCTGTATATGGCTGAGTCTGAAATAAATACCATAGAGGAACACCTGTATTGTATAATAGTTTATAAAATATTATAATAAATGTGTTCTATATTTCAGTGATGCTTATACGCTCATTAATTTAACTCACTATCAAAAATGATAATTACCTAGCTTTTTTCTTTCCAATCCTATATTGAGCTTGAATAATCAAAATATCCCTCAGACATTCCAAATAATTTCAGATTCCTACCTATTTTATCTGACCCCCCAAGATGAAGTCATCAAGAGAGGTCTCATTAATATTTATCTCAATTATATTTGCCATCGATGCATTCTCTGATAAAGATTTGTGGTTGGTCTTCAAGGTACGTAAAACGGACAATATACAGTGTGTGTCCAAAAAGTTTATAAGTTGTTATATGTATAGGCGACTGAATTTAAGATCGCAGTGCCAAAGTTGCGGTTGTGGAACTATATGAAAGTACATTGTTTTGGGAGTGTATAAACTCTGATTTGCTTGTGTGTAGTATTTCGAATTTTTTATAGTCATTTGAGCAAAGAAAACTGTGTTTCCACTACTGATATGAAAAGTAGCGCATTTGTCATAACTAACTTAATTTCAAAATCATGTATTGCTCATACTGTGAGAAATATTTTTTCTTGCGGCACTTTGCTAACACCACATACATTTCCATGGAAAATCAACAAAAATCGACCAAAACTTGGCTGCTGTTCAGCTTTGAATAATTGTCACAACTGTCAGAAGAAGTTTTTTAAATTCTTTAGGGTAGTTTTCATCAATACTTTTGATAGAAATCGCATTTTCTATCAAATGTTATTCCAACAATTCATAATAAATAATATGGTGTATATACCGAGATATGTGACGATTTTGATAAATACACCGCCAGATCTTTTTCGCAAAGTGTACTTTTTTGAAATACTTTGAGGAACTAGGAAAGGCGTCTACTCTTTGGTCACAATATTCAATATGAAATAGTGCCACATTATAAAATGAATACCAATAAGCTACATTACTCGGATTCTTTGAATAAGTGCAGTTGTAGAAAAAGTATAGTGTGCAACATGTGGGGAAAAGCACTTTTCTCACTCGTGTGTTTGCATCACTCGCCCTTCAGGCTCGTGCCACAAACTTTCACACTCGTGAGAACAGTTGAACTTTTCCCACTTGTTGCACAATATACTATTATTTGTGTACTCTTGTGATTCTAGGGAGCTTTTCAGCAGATATTCGTTCAATAAAGCTGAGATTCGCAAAACAAAAATGCTCCAATTCGAGGTTCCGTTATAGTTTGCATTTCATTCGCATTCAGTAGTGAAATAAATTAATATTGCAAATTAAGAGGAGGGAATATGATCGCCATATTACATTGTATATACCGGGTGTCCCAGTATACCTGTTCCAATGGATTATCTCAGTCATTTCGAAAGTAACAAATTTGAAAATTTCATGACCTCCAATTCGTTCAAGGAACCTTCAACTGAGAAAAACGAAAATTGAAAGTCACTTCCGGTTTGACCGGAAGTGACTCTAACTTCTTCATTTCAAATAGCACTCTGTATATTTTTTGCAATTTTTGCTTTCTACTCAAAATTACCTTTTCAACGATGTATCACACTTTGCATTTTACAATTGATTTGATAGAGAAAACGAAAATTGAAATTTGAAATCGAAAGAATTGCAGTAGATTACGCTATTTTGTGTACATAATGATTTGTTCCTCAATAATTGATGATTCATGAACAATTTTGCATTCGAGATGATGAAGAGAACGTCAAATTTCAAATTATTATAGAAACATGTAGTAGAACTGGAAGAATTATTAATTCTTAAATGAAAACCTTAGTGTGCCATGGAAACATTTGAATACATTTGTTTGTATCTTTGACAGTTAATAATTCTCAATGGTTGTGTGTGACATTCAAGAATGAATAACCGTGAAAATGATATGATAACTTCACAATTCAAGAGAAATTGGATATGATTCTGATTTTAATTCCAAATTTCAATTTGTCGTTTTCTTCATCATATCAAATGTAAAATACAAAGTGTGATACATCGTTGGAAAGGCAATTTTGAGTAGAAAGCGAAAATTGCAAAAAATATACAGGGTGCTATCTGAAATAAAGAAGTTAAAGTCACTTCCGGTCAAACCGGAAGTGACTTCAAGTTTCCGTTTTTTTCAGTTGAAGGTTCCTTGAACGAATTGGAGATCATGAAATTTTCAAATTTGTTACTTTCGAAATGACTGAGATAATCCATTGGAACAGGTATACTGGGACACCCGGTATATATATCTTTATTTAGTTGAAAAACTAATTCATTTACAATAGTAAATACATTCACATTATAAATAAACTTGGATTAATATGAGAAAATACAATCAGTCTGAATGAAAAATACATACGTGTGAATAAAAACTAGGTACATAAAAAAGTAATAATTATGTACTAATTTTTCATTAAATAATCCTTCAATCGTCTTTTGAATGTATTTATCGAACCACTCTCTTTAATTTCTTGCGGGAGGTCATTAAAACAATCTACTCCTTTATAAAATAAGGTATAATGTGTACTATTTATGTTATGTTTTTCAACTTGTGTTTATGAAAGCTGGATGTATCTGGGAATAATTGATCTACCTTGTAGGAAAATTTGAACATTATGTGCTTTATTGTTTTTGAGTGAGGATTTCATTTTGAAAAATTTTCTACTGTAACTTTTCACTTCTGGGAATAAAAGGCAACTGAATTCAATCTCGAAGTAGAGAAACATTTTTTCAATTATACATCGATTGCAATCATTTTCTGTGAGATACAGTGAGAAAACATGATGAATAGCATGTGAAACGGAGCAATAATGATTTGAGATCTGAAGAAATCAAAACTCATAAAATGCAAACAAACATTCAATGTACTTTATATATTAGTTTTTTGAATATCCCCAAGAGATTTTGAATTGCCTTCTTTATGGGCTCAAACATGATATTATGTGAGAATTTATTTGTTTTTAAGGACACCAGCACTTTGGCAATCCATTCTTATCGCTATCGGACGTCTTCTTGTGAAGTTATATTAAAAAAGTGCTGTTTTTGAATTTTGTTTTGATCATCATTGATTAAAAACTGAAGATTTTTGAAAAAAACAATGTGTAAATGTCTACAGGAGGTATAAATATTTTGTAGGAAAATCACGGTAAAACATACAAGAGCCTTCTAGATGAAAAAATTCGGTTCAACAATTTTCAAGAAAACTTGCTGAAAATAAAAAACCACAATGATAGATTCGAAAAAGGAGAAGAATCATACTTTCTGAAAATCACACCTAACGCAGATTTAACAGATGAAGAATTCCGTCAAATGCTTATCCTAGGAGCGCAAAAAATGCCTACTTTTGAAGGATTTGGAAGTGAATTGGACATTCTCGAAAATGTTAGCAGCACCCCAGACTCAGTCGACTGGATTGCAAAGGGGGCAGTTTTGGGGGTGAAAAACCAGGGGGCTTGTGGATCTTGTTGGGCCTTCAGCGCTGTGAGTACAAAAAATCTGTGAAAACGACAAACAAAATATCAAAAAATAGTAGTTTGAATATCCAAAAAACACGCTTTTATAAATAGCCAAACTGCAAAGAAGTGGAATATAAAATGATAAAAGTGTATTGAGAAATTCAGAACATACAAAATATTAGCACCTCTTTCTATGTTGTGTATTGATCAACACATTTTTTTTCTTTTCAGTTTGGCTATCTATATGAAAGCCTTTTTCATTAGTGTTTTGAACTACCTACTATTTATTTCCCATTTCTTAGTTTGGCTAACTTCAAAAGTGTTTTTTTTAGTTCTTTTTCTATTTTTTTGAAAGGGCTTACCGCTCTGCAGTGAAAGTGTTTTTTGCGCGCCTGCTTGGATCTTGTAACCGTTTATCAGGCTCCCTCTCCGGAAACTTTATCTTATACGAGTACTTGGTGCAAGATACTATACCATCTCTCTGGATGTTACTATTTTCATATCATGAGAGTATACTTGGTGCAAGACACTGCTGTGTCTCTGGATGTAAAAATCACTCATCCTGAAGATCCTGATCAGGATAATAAATGGAAAAAAATTAAATTATGCTATTGTCGTCGGTCCTCCATGATAGTGTATGGAGTTTTCAAATCAAATCGACGTTTTGAAGTGGTTTAAAATCATCCGTCTCCATGAATGTATATAACTATTCATATGAGTACTTGGTGTAAGACACTGCCGTGTCTCTGGATATAAAAAAACAAGTTATTCGATGGAATAGAAAGGCACATTTCAAATTTTGGTGAAGGAACATTTTGAAATTTTGGCGAAGGAACATCATTCACCATTTTATTCGTATGTAATACCACAAGTGATACTATCTTGCCGGAAATATTCAGCGATTGCTACGACAGCTTGTTGCTAATAATTTTGCGAATGACATTGTCTATCAAAACTTTCTAGCCGAAGGCGAGAAGTTTTGAATCAATGTCATGAGCGAAGTTAAAGCAGCAAGCTGGAGTATGTCATTCGACGAATATTTCATGATTGAGACAATTTTATCGCTAAAAAACGAAGAGGTTGGTTGGTCACGTGTGGGTTAATTCGGCTTCTATGTATCGGTAGAGCAAGTCTGATACATTTTAGTAAACAAAAAATATCGCTGGAATACAGGAGAATCCGTGAAAACGGTCGATTTTGATTAGTTCTCGTGAACAAGGGTGGAATAGTCGATAAAAAAATCGTTCATCCTGAAGATCCTGATCAGAATAATGAAACAAAACTTTCAAATCATGTTAATGTCATTTTTCTACTCACATAACTAAAATGGCATTTAGCGTATGGATATATACCACACGTTACCATGGCAACACGATTTCTTAAACACATTACCATGGCAACGCAGTTCATTAAACACAGCTTCAGTAATTTGAGACATGTCTGGCCTGTCAATTGTATTAACTGCCAACTGTTATTCTCGAATTTTGTATCAGAATTATTCAAACAATATTCGTTTGTATCAGAATTCTTCATTAAAAATATATGCGAAAAGTAGACGAAAGAAAAATCGAAGAGAATGTTCTGGTACTCGCATATCTCCAAAAAGTGTAAACATGAAGCATCCATCTTTGAGAACAATTTATTTATTCTGCGCTAAGCATGACGATAAACGTGAAACAAAGTTTAGTAAGCAATGGACTTGACTCATCTACAATCTACAACCAATATCAGTTATACGTGTCTCGCTGGTTGCATGCAGTTGCATGTATTATGTTCTCAATTCCCATTCCTTTCGAATTATTTTGTTAGTTAGCAGGAATTGCAGGTATGTTAATGTAATTTTTGGGGTTCGTAGAAAAATCATAGTATGTAACGCGTTTATAAACTCTTCTAGACACTCGTTTATTATTAAACACTCGCTCCGCTCTGCTCCGCTCGTGCTTAAACTACTCGTTACTAAAAGGACGTTTATAACACTTGTTACATAATATACTATTAATTCGACGTTTTGAAGTGGGTAAAAATCATCCGTCTCTCTGGTAGTAACTATTCGTACGAGTACTTGGTGTAAGACACTGCTGCATTGTACTTAATTCTAACATTTGACTTTTTGGTGAAGGAACTTTTTCAATTTTTGGTGGCGGAACGTCATCCACCATTTTATTCGAGAAAAAAAAACGCTCATCCTGAAGATCCTGATTAGAATGGACAAAACTATCAAATTATGATATGTTATCGGTTCTTGATAAATGTACGAAGATTCCTTTCAATTCCACGTTTTAGAAGTGGTCAAAATTAAGTTCGAAGATTCCGCGTTACATACAAACACATACCAAGCTGATATAAGCCTGTTAATTAATGATATTTTTGCAATAGACCGGTGCTCTGGAAGGCCAAAACGCCATCAAGAACAAAAAACTCATTGGTCTTAGTGAACAGCAGCTTCTGGACTGTTCTTCAAGCTACGGCAATGGAGATTGTCGAAGAGGAGGTGTCATGTCGTTCGCCTTCAACTATGTCAAGGACCATGGCATAGAATCGGAAAAAGACTATCCTTACAAGGCCCGAAAAAGTCAGTGCCGTGCTGTTGGATCGAAAAGCGTGCTCAAAATAAAGGGGTACAAGAGGGTAGCGAAGACCGAGAATGATTTGATAAACGCTGTTGGTAAGCTTATTTTAATATAATTGGTTTTCTGTTTCGGGCCAGGAGCTATTACACTTCCAGTCAACTGCCTGTCCTGGAATACTGTTCTCATATTCAGAGTGCCGCACCCAAACATACCCTGAAACTGTTGGATTCTGTCCAAAAAAGGGAAATTCGTCTCGTGGGTGATGCCTCACTCACAAACTCACTCACTTCTCTGAAACACCGTAGAAAGTTGGCGATCTGGCTCTATTTTATAGATATTTTCATGGACGATGCTCTTCTGAAATACAATTGTTCCTCCCTTGGCGGTCCCCGCGAGAATAATCCGTCGAGTTGAGGCTTCGCACCCCTTCGTGGTCACTTTGGAGACCTACAGAACATCTCTTTCCAAAGACTCGTTCATCCAACGAACAGCGAGGCTTGGGAACACATTGCCAAGGGAGGTGATTCCTGAGGCATATAACCTCCAGAAATTCAAGAAGAACACCAATTCCTACCTTATTTCCATTGGATCTCACGATGTTCTCTGGATATTACAGGATATCCCTTCTCGTGGGAACCAGAATAACAAAAATATAATAGTATCTACTTGAAAATAGAATCAAGTTAACACATACTTGTTTTGGATTGAGGCTAATCGAAAAATGTCATTGCAAAACACAAATATAGCAGGAATAAAATTGTAGAGGAATTTCTGAAATTGCTAGAATACGCATTTCCTCAAGGAATGCTAGTAATCGAAACTGAAACATCGTGTATAACTTTATTCATCTTTTATTTTCATTTTTGCATTCTTGCTATTCTGTAAATTATTCATTAAAAATTAAAGTTATATACCTCATTCCAGGTAGGTACTCAGGTTATTACTCTGGGTTGTGAACATTTTCTAGAATAGCAGCAAATTGAAAAAAAAATTGAAATCATGTTCTTAAATCAAGTACTTAAATATTTTTTTTCTACAAACGTCAAAAAATGACAAGGTTCGCGCATTGATAACAAATTGCGAAGTGACACTTTTTTCCAGTTTCCTACGTTACCATGATACCTTGCACAAAACAATGCGCGAAGTAAAACAGTGCGCGAAGTACCTACTTCGCGCATTGTTATGTAAAATATATGAGCTATTTATATTTCAACTTTATGGTCCTTGATCGAGCAAACATCCACGAAATCATTCATTCCTGGATATTCAACAAGAACTTTGTTTTATCTCTTGGAGCGCACGAAAGGAAATTCCTATTATGTTCGTGGAACATCGTGCGTACCTAGGGAGGATAGGGCGAGGCCTTTCAAGCCAGTTCAACACTATTTTTTTTATCGAGCTAAGCATATTTTTACTTAAGAACTATATTTTTTGACGTTTGTAGAAAAAATGTTGTTTGCAACTCGAGCGCGAAATACTTTGGTCATCTCGACTACTTTTTGAACTCGGCTACGCCTCGTTAAAAAAATCAGATCTCGATCACCAAAGTAGCATTTCGCGCTCTAGATACAAAAATAACTAATAATTTTGGAATCGATCCACCTGACCCTATAGCCAGTTCTATAGAACGGCAAAGCTTTGGAATTATTTCCCAATGGAAGCATTCCCAAGGACCTATAACCTCCAGAAGTTGAAAAAAATATCCTCCCTATGTGCGCACAATGTTCTTCGAGCATCATAGGAATTTCCTTTCGTGCGCTCCAAGAGTAAAAAAAAATCTTCGATTTTTTTTCAGCGACCATTGGCCCGATTTCCGTCTCTCTCGATGCCACCTACTTCCACCTCTACGGGGGCGGCATTTTCGATCACAAATCCTGCTCCACAACCGCCCCCAATCACGGGGTGCTTGTGGTGGGGTACGGCAGTCAGGGCGACAAGGACTTCTGGCTGATCAAGAACTCCTGGGGCGGCTCGTGGGGGGAAAAGGGGTACATCAGGATGGTGAGGAACAAGGGGAATCATTGTGGGATCGCCAATGGGGCGGTCTATCCTGTCCTGTGATAATTGAGCTTCAGTATACGAAGACAATCTAGCTAGGAATTTTATTTTCCATATTGTACTGTTTCTACTTTTTCTCTTTTATCGATTGACAATTCCAAAATATGTAAACCTTGTAGAGGAATAGAAATAAATATTATTTTATACATATTTTACTTACTTTAATTCGAAAATTCTCAAAATACTGATTTCTTTTGGTGTTTCAAGGTGAAATGAGGAAGTTTTCCTCGAACGAATTATCATAAAATTTTTATTCATCTAAACTACGCAACAATAATTTCGTCGCACCTCAAAATTTCGCTGTTGAAATATGAATAACTTTTTTCTGCTTTGAACAATTTGAATTTGGATCTATTCTATATTCTAAATATGGAAAGCTATTCATATTTTAACAGACACAACATTTTGGGATGCCACGAAATTAGTGTTGCATAGCTTTCTGTCTGAAATTCAAATCATTTTAATTTCCAAAATACAGCAATTAGGAATTTTTCATGAAAGTAGACTACTATCTAGTGACATTTGGGGATATTTTTTGTCTCCAAAGTTTCTTGACTTGTTTCCTTCCGCTGTTCCGCTCGCAGTTCAAACCTCGAACCTGTCTCAAACCATCAACAAAAATGTTAACAAAATACATCTCAGTATGGTGTAAATCAGGTTCACAACCACTATTGCCAGACCCAAGTTATCATTTTCTTGGAGAATTTAAAATATATCTTCAACTTTTCAACAGAAATTCAAATTATAATGATCAACCTCAAAAACGAGCTGTGAGGATCTTTATTGTTATTTTGTATCAATTGCAATCGGGAATTTGATCGCAAGAAGCGATATTGAACCTTAAAACGAAGGGCAAGCTGTCCATATGGACGATTGATGGAATGTTCGACAATGAAACTGATATTGAATAAAAATTCAATTTTGGTAATGCACTTTTATTGGAAAAAAACTACACTGTATGAAATATATACCTATATATTACCTATTATAACAAGAGAAAATAATAATTGACCTACAATTCTGGATAGATTGGCTCATATTATGTGGATCTCATCATCTCTGTTTTGAAAAACATCTTATTCAAAATTTCGAATAGAGTTTATATGGAACAGCTAGATAATTTTATAATACACAAATAATAATTTGAATGGGAATATAAGTTGGTTCATAAATATGCATTTACCTTCTCTTTCTGTATCTATAGCTGCTTTGATGGTGACAAAAACTGAGAGAGTATTGTGATGGCATCACATCCAGAAAACCTTGGTTTTAAAAAATTTCGAAGTAGGTACTGGGACATTTCACATATTTTTATCTCGTATATCTCGTAATAACTACGTATCATTCGATCATTCCACGTGCTCATGGCTAATCGTTGGCTGATATGCATCTTGATTTGTTGATAAAGATGTGTACTGATTTTGAACATGTGCTTTGATGCTACATTTCGAATAAATCAAAAATGCATTTTTCAAAATTCGGATGTTTCCAGCTGAAATGCAGAAACTCAAGAAAAATCCAAATTCTTTATTTGGGCAATGATTTTTTCGGAAGGATGTAATTCAATGTTCTGCGTGGCATAAAGCCAGGAAATTACACTCAGTTCCAAAAAAAGTGCCGCACTTGATATTGATTCTTAAAAAAAAAACAAAAAATAGTAGGCCGATTCCAATTTTTTTTTGTTGGTAGGTAATGCATTTGTCTTAAAAAAAAAATAAAGAGGTAAACATTTTCTCAAAGCCTCCTTGATGGTGGTGGAATAACTCGAATCATGATTTATTCTTAATTTTTGACTCACGCTGTGTGCATGTTAATTGAGTAATGACATAGAAAGTGCTTGCACCCTATACGAAAGAGGCTTCTTTTGCGATCATTTTGTTTTTTTATTCATTGATTTATCTCTGAAATTTTCTGAATTACAGCTTTTTTTTGCTGAATCCTTGCAGATTACCAACTTTCTGAATTTATCGAGAAACAATTTTCCAATAATTTTAAAAAACATTTTTATTAAACACAGAATTATAAATTGGGATGACTGCTTAATACCGTGTATTGCCTCCTCTAGCAACTCTAAGAACTTCTAATCTACGAGGCATACTGGAAATAAAGTTCCTTATCGTTTCCATTGGTATACGATCCCATTCTTCCACTAATGCATCTGCCATTTCTGCGAGACTTTCCGGAGACCTCTCGCGAGAACGTACCCTCCTCCCTAATTCATCCCACAAATGTTCTATAGGATTCATATCGGGGCTTCTCGCAGGCCATTGTAATGTGGTAATACCAGTAGCTTCTAAGAAGTTTCGCACTATTGCTGCGGTGTGTGGTCGGGCATTATTCTGCATCAATATAAAATTATTGCCCACTAACTCTGCATAAAGTAAGACATATTGCTCTAAAATATCAATGTAAATTTGGGCATTCATCGACTGCCTCACCGGAGAAACATGAAGGGGTGTGCGCACGAATGGAAATCCCTATAATGTTCAAAGAACATCGTGCGTTCCTAGGGAGGATAGGGACAGGAGATAGGTATTGGATTTTTTTTGAACTTCTGGAGATTATATGTTGTTGGGAATACTTCCTCAGGCAATGAATTCCAGAGCCTAGCTGTTCTATGGATGAAGGAGTTTTGATGAAGTGCTGTTCGACATCTTTCGAGGTTGACAACGAAAGGATGTGCTAACTGGGCTTGTCTATTTCGTCTGACTGGTATTGCTAGTGAAGGGATGATAGCAGAGATTTCCGAAGAACATTTCCCGTGGAAGTATCGATAAAAAAGTGAAAGGTCGCCGACCTTTCTAAGGTGTTCCAATGATGTCAAAGAGTGAGTGAGTGTGGCGTCACCCACCAGGCGAATGGCTCTTCTCTGGATGGAATCTAAGAGCACCAGCGTATGTTTTGGTGCTGAACACCATATGTGGGAACAGTATTCTAGAACAGGCCGTATCTGCGCTTTGTAGATCATGAGAAGCTGTTAGGAATAAAGTAGCTTTTCGCACGGAACAAGAAACCGAGTTTTTGTGAAGCTGCCTTCGCGATGGATCTGACATGATTATCCCATGAAAGAGTGTTGCTGATGGAAATACCCAGCATAGATATGGTGGACTTGGTGGGGATGGTGGTGCCAGACATTGCAATGTCGGGCATACTGAGTTCCGCCTTTCTAGAGAAAATACATCAGGATTGAGTTTTGGTGGCGTTGAATTCAACTAGATTGGTGTGATTTCAGCAAGGTCTCCATTGACAGCATTGACCTGCCTGCGTCGTGAGTTCTTAGTTTCCTGGGAATAAATGGGAATTCTGGAAGAGAACGCAGTATGGAGGGTACTCATCGGCAAAGCTGTGGATGGTTCTTCCATGAAAAGTGAGGAAAAAATTTGTTTTCCTGAACTAGAAAATTTTCAGGAAAAATATGAATAGATTTTCAACCTATCTTGCCTCCTGCAGTGCATATCACTGATGGTAATTTCGATCTTTGGAATCTTCCTTGCTCCTGGAAATTTCCTAATCCAACAATAGCGTGAGATACAGGGGTGTTTTCATTAGGAGTGAGACACACTGTATATCCTTGCTATTTTTTAAGTGGCCTTTGTTTTCGACGAGATGAAAAATATTATGTTCTTGATTAATGATCAGTTTTCTAATCAGAGAAACAGGAGATATGATCTACATATTCAGAGAGACAGGAGATATGATCTACATATTCAGAGAGACAGGAGATATGATCTACATATTGGTACACTACAGAATATCAGTAATCGATCAATGACAACTTTGTCTCTTGCTATTGAACCTCTTCCATTTGAGATTGGTTCAAAATGCTCATTGCTGAATATTATCTGTATGAAAGTACAAACCATCAGTTATGGTCCTCTAGATAACTGAAAACAAGGTGCAAACATTGTATACTATGTCTACAATCATTTTATTTGATCATTTGGGATTTTTTCTCCTCTTTCCTATAATAATAATAATAATATATAGTTTATTGGTATAAAGAAATGTGTAAATACAATTTCATTTAGATGACGACGATAACAATTTTTTCACAAATAAACAGAAAACCACAAAGTCAAAGACTGTCTGTGGTGTGAGTGTAGCCTATGTTTAAAATTAGTATCGATAAATATTGAGTGAAGCGAATGAAAAATATGTTTAATTTCAAAATTAAGATTCTCTAACATGACTGGAATTGGTAAAGAACACATGTCCAGTATACAAGCAGCAAAGCAGACAAATCGGTCACCAAATGCGAAAATGTAAATTACAAAACACATACAATTTGAAACAGCTTTTTTACATACAAGTACAGGAAAATATATAAAAATGATATAATGAAGGCAATTGAAGTTTGATAAAATACACATGCCTAGTACAACCAACATAGTGGTCAATAAATATGAAAAATGAAAATTACAAAATAAACATGCAATTTAACATATAGAAAATATTTGAGGAGAAATTGGAGGAAGACATTAAACTAATAAGCTGAGATGGAATGATATCTGATTACACCGTTACACCAGCCTCCTCGAGCTCATGAACAGTTAGTCTGTTTGAATTAAGTAAATATTTTTTTAGCTTTTTCTTGAACCCTCTATAAGAAGATGTCTCTTTTATTTCGGCAGGAATAAAATTGAAAAATCTTGGTACTAAATACGAAAAGCATCTTTGTCCTATGGATTTTGAAGCAAGCGGTGTTTTGAAATATTTGGATTTGTGTCTTGTTCCGTAAGAATGTTCTAGTCTCTTTAGATTAGATTTACCTTTGAATTCAAAGCAGGATGATATAAAAAAATAATGTTGACGAATGAAATAAATATACGGGTATTATTTCAATATATGTGTAGTAGGACGAATCAGATGATTTGCCCCAAAATGTCACTGCGTTTAACAATTTTTTCCATCAGGGAGCCTGAAAGAAAAATCCAATACAGTGTCAGTGACACTCTCTGATTTGTCCTACTACACATATTTTGAAATGATACTCATATTTTTATTTCATAGAAACGAGAAGAGAGAATCCCAAATAATCAGAAATCTCTGCTTTGATTTCATCACTAGCAATACCAGTCAGACGAACTAGACAGGCTCACTCAGCACAATCTTTCATCGTTGAAATATGTCGAACAACACTCTACCAGTAACAGTGCCAGATTTATAATTTTCATGAGTATAGGTTCCTCCATTCGCGCCGCCTCTTTATTTTTTCAAGAAGTTCCCACATTTTTTTGTTTTTTATGTTCTGGTTTCCACGAAGAGGGATATCCTGAATTATAAGGTAGGAATTGGTGTTCTTCTTGAATTTCTGGAGGTTATATGCCTCGGGGGACACCTCCCTTGGCAATGTGTTCCAGAGCCTCGCTGTTCCTTGGATGAACGAGTCTTTGAAAAGAGATGTTCTGCAGGTCTCCAAAGTGATCACGAAGGGGTGCGAAGCCTCAACTCGACGAGTTAATCTCGCGGGGACTGCCAAGGGAGGAACAATTGTTGATATTTCAAAAGAGCATCGTCCATGGAAATATCTATGAAATAGAGCCATATCGCCAACTTTTCTACGGTGTTCCAGAGAAGTAAGTGAGTTTGTTAGCGAGGCATCACCCACGAGACGAATTGCCTTTTTTGGACAGAATCCAACAGTATCAGGGTATGTTTGGGTGCTGCACTCCAAATATGGGAACAGTATTCCAGGACAGGTCGGATCTGTGCCTTATAGATCATAAGCAGCTGACTGGAAGTGAAATAGCTCCTGGCCCGAAACAGAAAACCAAGTTATTGGGATGCACTTTTAGCAATTGATCTCACGTGATTTTCCCAAGAAAGGTTATTGCTGATGGTAATACCAAGCATCGAAATGGATGTCTTCAATGGTATGGTTACTCCACAAAACATGAGAACAGTTCTTCCCAATAGTCAGCTCAAGTGGAGTTCTAGAAAAAAAATTCAAATTTTCGTTCCGATGGCCAATTAAGGAGAAATAACGAAAACGTCTCGAGATAAGGTCCCAGTGTATCATAATATGACTGAGTTTTGATCAGAAAAAATTTTCTCGAGTTCCGGCAGCATTCTAAATGTAGACCATAGTGTAATGGTTCCACTTTACACCCTGTGTAAGTTTTGTCCTGCGGACTTTTCCAGAGTGATCTTGCTCTCTTTGAAGCCAATGAAACATCACATCTGATATCGAAAACCGAAAAAAATACAGGTCATCGAAATAGAGTCAAATTAAGAATGCTCCATTTAGTGTAGAACTGTATTGAAATATGGAATTTGAAAATTATTATATGCATATAAACTGTTGGACATTTGAACTGAATAATTCAAATTTCTCGACGCATACTATCAAGACCAATACCATAGATCTATGCCAATTCCAAGAAGTCTTGGCCTTGATCTCGCGAAGCTCTTCAGAAAAGCCACTTTCTATGCTGCTTGGAGAAAAACATCATTTTCTTAATGAATTATCAGCATTCCAATCAAGTATTGACATCAGGATATATGATCTACTTTTGCCACAGTCAATATAGAAATCGATCAAAGACAATGATTTTGATTCTTATCTATTTACATGTGATGATTTGAGATTGTTTCAAATTGTTCATCGATAAATAATTTTGTATAAAAGTACGTGAAATTTCTATACAAACCATCAGTTACAGTTCCGCAGACGACTGGAAATAAGGTGAGAACATCATATACTTATATACCTTCAATAGAAAACAATCAAGTGTTCTAAAATCTGGACAACTAGCTGGTCATAGATAGAGTGATCAGAGTGACATTTTCAGAAATTTATTTCGAACCATTTTGAAGGCTCTTTTTTGATAACGTTGCTTATAGCAACTGGGTGGTTATGTTTAATGGCCCTGAAATTTTAGAAATGGACCTTAGTAACTAACAAGTAAAATCAACTTTTTTGTGAGAAAATATTGCGTCATATTTAACTAAACTCATAAGAAATATGTTTTTCCTGCAACCGACACAAAAGTCGTCCATTTTGATACCAAAATTAGCTCTTAAATTGACGTTTCTATTACTGACACAAAAATAGGTATGTTGCAAGGCAACATATTTAGTTCCTAGGAGCTGAAGTTGAATTTTTGTTCCTAGGAGCTAAATTTGAATTTGAACTAAAGGATGTACTGGATGTCATCAAGAATAAACTACATTGTGACGGTTGGTTATTTGGGTTGAGACGCATATACCTGATTTGTTTCCGATTACAGCAGATTAGGCATTTCATACCCATGCTGGAGATATAAATACATACCTTATTATAGTTTAGTATTGGAATTATAAACATCTCAGTTAAGTATTTTTGTTTTGATCAGGAAAGCCTTCAAGATTCAAATACTTGCTTGATCTGTATTTTATTCGTTATTCTCGGGATGGATAACTTGTTTTTGAATAATCACGGCAAGCAATAGTTTTTTTGTCTCAAACAACGATATTGTTTAGCTTCATTTGATTATCAAGTCAAACACAGTGTAGTATGGAGAGGAATAAATAATCACTATTATCATAATTATGCTCACTAACCTAACATTTTCCACGTCTTGTTCCTTTAGCTGGCACTGGCGCGGTATTTGCCATTAGAGCACCTGGTCCATACACAAATATGTCACTCTGTGGTTGTATTTATATTGAAACTACAATTCGAACATCCTAGAAAACCTAACCTGCTGTTAATGCAGGTAGAATATTCTTACCACGTGGATTATTTGTCAATATTTGTTGCATTGCATACATATGGCACGGCATTGGTGGTTAGTTCACATGTTTATTTGAGTTAATTGTTTCGGTTGCAGAAAAAAATAGCATGTTTCATTCGGATCAAAAGTGACTTTGTTCGACTCGCAAATTTTGCTTTCGCTCGGCTTCGCTAAACGCTCCGCCTCGCAAATGCAAAATTCGCTTGTCAAACAAAGTGTCACTTTGGATCCTAATAAAACACTCTACTATTTTTTTTTTCAATGTTTGTCTTTTTTCTGTGACTACCATTATTTGTGTATGATTGTACTTTATTTAGTTGTATAAAATTTTCTGTGATTTATTCTCTACATGATTCTGTAACCCTGACGTGCTATAAATCATAATATGTATGAGTAACATAGTCAAATAAATCTATCTATCTATTTTCTGTTGATAGAAAATTTACCTTTTTCGAATCGGGATAATTTTCTATGAAAAAAACCATTCGTGACCTTGAAAAGAATTATCGGCAATAATTCTGCTGCAAGGGAGATTACAAGTGACAGTATATCAACACAATGCATTATTAGTTTTATAGTGATTTACTTACTCACTGCCTATTTTGTTTCAGATGAGGTCGTTTATTATATTTGCTGTTGCTTTCATAGCTGTTGAAGCTTTATCCTTCAAGAATGAGTGGAATGAATTCAAGGTGGGTCAAAGCCGAATGCCCTAACTGAGAATGGGAATGATAGATACAAGATACCTCTATAGCAATACCTCGTCCCTTCTCTCTATAATGAATATTACCCTATTATTTTTTGCCTCTCTGCATAGTCAAAAATACCAAGAATCATAGAGAAATCGCTATATTCACTCTGATTTCAGCTGAAACATGGAAAATCCTACGACACGAAAGAAGAAGTGAATCGCTTCTCGATTTTCCAATCAAACTTGCTCACCATTGTCAACCACAACAAAAAATATGGAAATGGCGAGTCCACTTTCAAGATGGCAATCAACAAATTTGCCGATCTAACTTCCGAGGAATTTAAAGCCATGATGACCAACCCCTTCGTATGGAACACCACTTTGAAAGTCGAGCAAACCAGTTTCGATGACGTCATGGATACGGATATACCCGAAGAGGTCGACTGGAGAAAAAAAGGAGCTGTCACTGCAGTCAAAAACCAAGGAAACTGTGGATCATGCTGGAGTTTCAGTGTGGTAAGTGGTCTCCGCGTTCACTGGATCTCACACCTATAGACATATTTAGATCTATGTATAGACCATACTGGGTGGGTCGGGAGGAACGCACCAAACTCCAGGTGTGTAATGTACAGATATAAACAATTTTTAAAAACCCATATTATGTCCTTATACCATTGCCATTTGTTTTCATTCTATATTCGAATAGATGTGTAGCATTTTATAGGACTATTCGTATACAAACTCGAAAATAAACACGTCAAACATACTGACACTGACACGAACACATGTCAGAAAAACAAAACAGATGAAACAATCGAGTTTGTACAGGGTGGGCAAAATTGGGCGTTTTCACCGTCTATCTCAATAACTAGAGGAGTTATCGAAAAACCAATATACATGTTCCGGGTTCGATTTTGGAGAAACCTCGAACGGCACATTCAAAATTTCGATATCTTCATTCGTTTTAGAGAAACAGGGGGAAATTGAAAATTTGCCGATTTCGATTTTATTTTCTAACTACTTTACGGTGAGAGGTATCGAAAAATTTCGAAAGTATATCCATACAGTATGATGCGTGGAATTCATTGGCATCATCAGAATTTTTATACAGGGTGACGTTGAAAAGATACGGCAGCCAATTATGTTTTTTCTAATGGAACACCCCGTATATTTTGGCACAGTTGATAGTCCCAGGCGCTCTCATTACAAATATAAATATAACCCTACTTTCTCCTTCCACAATTCCAGATATATTCGCAAAAATATATTCAGTGTGTCACATTTCTTATGGTTACACCCCCGTATCTTCTGTAAAAATAATTGAGGTAGGATTCAAAAATTCGCAACTGTCAGAAAGATACAAATGATACACTCATGGAGTCATGGACCAAGTGGGATCATCTCCAATGATAACACTGCTCGCCAGCAGCTATGGAATCATCGATATTTCTGGATAATGCTATCAACAGGCAGAATCGAGGTTGAAAATGACACTCTGTATATATTCACCAAATGTGGGAAATAAATATCATAGGGAATGTAATTTTCAGATAAATGGATATTTGGTTAGAAATAAAATGGGAAATTATTCGATTTGATATCATTGTTCAAAGTTCCCGTTTCAATTTCAAATATATATCTTATTTATTATCTCTTATTTGAACGCAAAAATATTAAGGCATACTAGAAATAATGGGTGGAGTATCATATTCAGGCATTCTGCCACAAAATATAATGATTGTTAATGTTTCCATCAATTATTTTTACAGAAGATACGGGGGTGTAACCATAAAAAATGTGACACACTGAATATATTTTTGCGAATATATCTGAAATAGTGGAAGGAAAAGGTAGGGTTATATATATATATATTTGTTATGAGAACGCCTGGGACTATTCAACTGTGCCAAAATATATGGGGTGTTCCATTAGATAAAACATAATTGGCTGCCGTATCTTCTCAACGTCACCCTGTATAAAATTTCTGATGATGCCAATGAATTCCACGCATCATACTGTATAAATAAACGTTTGAAATTTTTTGATACCTCTCACCGTAAAGTAGTCAGAAAATAAAATCGAAATCGGCAAATTTTCAATTTCCCCCTGTATCTCTAAAACGAATGAAGATATCGGAATTTTGATTGTACCATTCGAGGTTTCTCGAAAATCGAACCCGGAACATGTATATCGGTTTTTCGATAACTCCTCTAGTTATTGAGATAGACGGTGAAAACGCCCAATTTTGCCCACCCTGTACAATTAAAGTCTTATGAAATGATAGCTATTCAAATTTGAAATGAAATCAAATGAGAATCGTACCAGAACATATTGGTTTTTACAAATTATTTTCACGTGTAGAATAGACACCTGGAGTTTGGTGCGTTCCCGACTCAACCTGTACGCTATACAGGATTATTCACGTTATACGAAACATTGGCTGAAGTATTTGATTTTTCAAATGCTTTCACTTTATAGGATGGATAGGGTTTAGCGTGTCATTTTAAAAATACAGGGTGTCTCAAAAAAACCTAACCCCCTTGCTAGGGTAGGTAGAACATTGCAAAATAAGTTGGGTTTGCTCAGTAAAAAAATGTCGTAACGCCATCCGTTTTCAAGATACAAGGTGTTGAAAAAATAATTTTTTCACACATTTTTCACGATTATGTTGAAACTACTGGCAACATTGTAATGACATTTTGTATGGATGTGTTTTGAAAGCTGACAATTCGCATGAATTTGTTTTTATATCTGACACTCATAGAGGGCGCAAGTTAAACGGTTCGTACCGAGTAGTTTAGAACATAACTTTTTTGAGGTTAGATTCTTCAATCCAAATATGATATTAACTTTGAACAACATTCAATTTTGCATCAAAAAGGTACTGCTAGTGGAACTCGATACTATGTTCCGTTTTCGGAATATTTTGATTTGAAAATATTGGAGTAGTATTGATGCTGGTATAAAATGAATTTTATTGAGTTCAATTACCTATTTATTCAGATTCAAAAACAATAAAATTATTGTTGTGCTGAAGTTATTGATGGAATAAAGAATCATAAGTAGAAAATTGAGTGACATGAAATATTGAATCACTTAGACTACTTAGAGCATAGATTAACGATACATTTCGGCATTTTGGCACAACCCCTGTGTAACATGAAAATATTGTTGAAAAGGAAATTTATTTCATATGTGCGTGGGCCCTCCGGAAATGCATAGTTTTCAGCATACAGTGTGTTAAACTTAAAAAAAAACGGTTTTTTAAGAATATCTCAAATATCCTTCCACCGATTTACTTGAAATTTGGCAGTGATATTTTTCGTCATGAGGGGCTGATTTAGCCATAATTGAATTGGAATTACGAAATCCATTGGCGTCCCGGGGAACACCCTACCGAATATTATTGTCAATAAAATGTGCGCCACTGATTTTTTCGAATTTTATAACTCAATATTTTACATTTCGGTCTCCTGAATTGTTTCAATATTTTGCTTCGTTTTCGTGAAAAAAAATTGATACCAATTCATTGTACGAATTGGTGCATGAAATTCCTTTGAAGACTGGGGTGAAAATAAATGTGTGATCAATATCCATAGACATACAATAAGAATGAAGATTCGTTCTCTTCGAATAATTTTATAAAACATGTTTGACACACTCTACACTCTATACAGGGTGGTCCGGTTTTTGATACAGAAAATTTAACAGCGTATAGTACTCGTTGAAATAATAAATAAACTTCCTATGAACATATACTTTTAAACGCTTCGTTTTCGAGATAAAGGGTGTTGAAGTTTCTTTAAAAAATCGATTATTTATTGATTTCTCAGAAATGCTATAACCGATTGTGATGAAATTCATATCTATTGTGGAAATATCAATAAGCTAACTTTCAGACCTATTACAGTTTATGAATGAGTTACATATTTTCAGGGGCGTGCATTTCAAAATCCAATTTTTTTGCCGCCACTGAATAGTTTTTAGAAATAATTTTTATTCAATTTAATAAAGCTCAAAAAGTTCAGTATCTGTGAAAGATTTCGTTAATTTATCTACCGTTTCTAACTTTTGATTGGAAAAATATATTCAGAAGCGTATTTTTGACACCCAATATCTCAGAAACGAAGCGTTTAAAAGTATATGTTCATAGAAAGTTTTTTTATTATTTCAACGAGTACTATACGCTGTTGAATTTTCCGTATTAAAAAACGGACCACCCTCTATATTGAGGGGTATGTATTCTCGGACCCAGGTATACAAATAAAAAAAATTATGTTCTCTCATGTTGAATCACCTCCAAGTTTTTTCGAGGACGATTTCTGGTCGCCCTGTATATAAAGTTGCGGTAAATAAACTGTTTGTCACAATTTATTAGCACCGAACAGAAACAGACAATGAAACAAAAACCTCATTTTGCATATAAATTGTGTGCAAAAATTCAAGGGGTGATTCTATTTATTTGAATATCACAAAAAGTTCGTGTAACATTTTTTCGAAAACTCGCTAATAAAGTAGCCTTCAAAGTTGATATTTTCAAAATGAATATTCTTTTATCACTTTCTTCCTATGGAACTGATTTATTTCAAATTTGGCACACGGATTACTGATATTCCTTTGCGACCTTGGTCTAAATTATACTTGGATCCCTCGAAGCCAAATACACTTTACTGCCCTTGACCTAACCTTACCAAGATAGAATCATAACTTATTCCTAATAATTTTATTTTTAATTTTGAAGTTATAAAATGAAATTGAAGAACATATGGAAATATTTGGAAAAGGTCCTCCTGTTCTTTCTTGATAAAAGACCGAGAAGAACATCAAAAAAATTGACAAGTTTATTCAGTGAGAGATGATCACTCTGTTCCACTAGTAACTTCCTAAACAACAAATTAGTACATATAATCTTTACAACAAAGTTTCAAAGTGATGTCCTTTCATTTCATGGCAAACATCCCCCTTTTTTTTTTTCGATTACCTCGCATATCAAAAATTCTTTGTCTTAGAATCTTCATCCTTATTCTATGTCTATGGTCATGGATCACACACTCATTTTCACCCCAGTTTCTGAAGGAATTTTTTGCACAAATTTATACAATAAATTGGTAAGTATTTATTTTTTTCCACGAAAATGAAGCAAAATATCAAACGTATTCGGGAGAACAAAATGTTGTGCTTTTAGTTGGTCAATAGAATATGAAGATATAGAATAAAAAAAAATCAGTGGCACACATTTTATGGAGGATTATATTCGGTAGGGACGCCACTGGATTTCTTGATTCCAATTCAATTATGGCTAAATCAGCCCCTCATGACAAAAAATATCATTGTCATATTGTGAGAGAATCGGTGGAAAGACATTCATGAAAATCCGATTTTTTTAAAAGCTTAACACACTGTATCTTCAAATACTATGCATTTCCGGACCCACGTATACAGGGTGATTCACATAAGAACCGACATAGAGCAGGGGCATGTAGGGGGTCCCAAAATATAGCAATTTAACGGTTTAA